GATACTGAACAATTAACCTGATGAATTTTCAGCTCAGCTTCAGCTGTATATTCCCCAAAAAACAGCATTCTAGGATCTCAATTTCAAATCAAAAGTTGCTGAATCATGTTTTGAATTGGGCCTGGGGCCGTATTCACAAAACGACTTCACTAAAGTCATAAAAAAGCAAGCACCCCGCTTAAATATTCGATTCACGGAACATTTTCACTAAGTACCCCACTTATGTGCATGACTTAAATCTAAGTGTGGTCTGACCTGTCTTAAGCCAAGTTAAGTGGGGCACTAGGGTGTCATGGCGGCTTTATTTCTTTAGGTTGGTTTGTAATTTGTAGGCACAAAATTGAACTTTCTAGGGGTAGAGGGAAATATCGTCAATAGCGAATTATTGTAAAAGGAAAGCCAGGTTGAAATCAAAGTGTGACAACCCTAGAATCGTAGTTCGTCGACATTATAACAGTTATTTTCGATCGATTTGTTGATCTTTATGCGGGCGGCGCGGGTGCGATTGACGAAACCAATGGCATGCACAGTCCTACCACGTGATTGCCGACTATACAATTAATAATAACTGTTTTACCTTCCAGCGCGTATTAGAGAATGCGAATAAATCACGATCACAATTTGTTTCACACTCGACAGTAAGTAAAACGAACATATCACTTGTATTTTTAGTTGTTGACAACTAAACTATGGGAAATAACAACATGCACTGAGTGCATACGATGTGCATGACGAGCTAGATGGACGCGCGCGTGACGCAGACATTATCCGTGTGTTAACTTTGGCTTGGATACTGCGTCGCAGAATACGCGCACGCATGAATATGTTGAGGAAACACGCACATTATTTATTGAACTGATGCTGCGTAGGAACGTTTATGACATACATGTTTTGCGCATGAGCAAGAGTGATTGCTTTGAACACTTTTTAAGTTGAGCACTACGATAAGTGGGGAGCTTAGATCTTTCATGAATACCAAATTAAGCGCACCATATAAGGTAGCAGGGTGCTAAGATTTAAGTGTAACTGAAATATTCTCTTTAGTTTGTAGTCAGTGGGCTTGTGGTGGCCCATATGCAATTTCGGGTACACTCTTTGAAACTCTCAGGATCACTAGAGGATACCTCAAGAAGTTCCAAACCACTTGATGCCATTTTTTTTCTGACCCTTTTTTTCGCATTTGGACAGTTCACCCAAGTGCTACATCACAAGAAAAAAAAAATCCACAATTTTGCCTCTTTTGGGGGTGGGGCAACATTTTAAAAAGTGGGGGTCACATGTCGCTGACAGAAAATCGACCTGTTAAATGCAATCTCGAGGTTTTTTGTTTTTGTTTTTGTTTTTGTTTCAATCCATTATAATTTGGCAAGAAAAAAACGTTTACATGGCAACTCATAAATTCTTTGGCTCCCATTTGGGGGGCGTGTCACACTTTTTTCATAAAAAGGGGGCATACGTGTATTCCAAAAGGAAGTTTATGCGAGCCCATATGGATTATTGCACATTCTTTCAAACTCTCACAAACACCTCTGGACACCTCAACAAGTGACAATCTGCTCCACCCCACTCCCCCCCCCCCATTGGCCATTAAAATGGCAGCCGTTTTTAACATATCTGGCATATTGTACACATACATGTACAAATGGACAAATAATCAATTTTATGAGACATTTATGTTTTGATATACAGTGAAATCTCGATAAGTCAAACTTTGAGAGAATGGGCTCAAAATGTGAGCTAAGCTGAGTTTTGAGTCAAGCAGGGTTGTATATCACTGTTATACAACTGAAGGGAATAATTAGTCTTTGTTTGACTTAACAGGAGGTTTGATTTATCAACAGTTTGACATTTTGAGATTTCACTGTAGTTTATTTTGTCCTGACAACAATGCTATAAGACGGCTTCTATACTCATAAAGTCTACCCACGAGGTCTAAGAAATACGAAGGGTGCTCAAGTTTAAGGAATAAGTCAATCTGGCATGAAATGTTATCATGGCCTACGTCAAAGTGAAAATGCACAAAACGCTGCTCCGTCCCATAAATTCAAAACTTTTATTTTTCGATTCATTGACATTCAACGGTTGTATTCAAAAATGCTATCAAAAGCTTGGAAAACACGACGACTATCCTCTATCAATAAAATTTCTATAGAAATATAACTATGCAGTTTTTCTAGTATATATTTTCCTGCTCAGTCTTGCAATTGACTTTGTATTTCGTTAATCTTTCAGAAATTTGAGATAATTAACACACTGTTATAATGCAACTCAAAATAATTATAATATACACGACTACATGTAATTGTCGCACAGATTTTTCATATTATTCAGGGAATTATTGTAATTAAGGGAATTATTGTTGTTAATGTATTTTTACTCTGTTGGACGGTTTTTAATCAAATTTGGTATACTACTTTTAATTGGATAGTTGTATTTTTGGGAGACAGGTGTTTTTACCAATTAATCTGAATAAAATAAAGTATTATTCCATCCTGTATGCTCATTGTCTCTGTCCCTTTGCCAGATTCATGCTATTGTGTCTCAATCAGTGCACATCATTGGAGTTCGTTTCATTCCCTCTAACGCGTTTCTATCATTCCTTTCCCCTGTGAGCGTCCTTCGTTTGTCTTCTAAGGCCAAAAAAAAGTCTCCGGTTTCTGGTATGGAGCTTGCCCAAAAAGTGGTGCGGCGACGCAGCTTTTTTTTTTTTAACCTGATTTTTTTGCTTCAAATGTCGGCTGATGACTGCAAATGGTGCCCGACTAAACTTAGTGCAAATATATGGGAGTCCAGAGAGGCCACATAAAGCTTATTCTCGACCATAACCCAATCTAAAAACACGTTAAAATGTTGTGCAGCAGCATGATTCCAGTCAAACCAGTGAGTTTGGCGGTTTTGAGACATCATCTTTCATTGAAAAAAAAAAAAACACTTTTTCATTTTGCCGACGCGCATGGCTACAGCGACGCGCGCGCATAGCAGAAACCGAAGACTTTTTTTTTTGGCCTTAACTCAAAACTCTGTTTTCCACACCAAATTATAAGGGATTGTAAAAAATACAAAAACAAAACAAAAAAGCTCAAGATTGCCTGTTACAGGTCGATTTTCTGTTAGCAACGTGTGCCCCCACTTATTTAAAAGGTTGCTCCACCCCCAAAAGAGGCACAATTGTGGAATTTTTTTTCTTGTGATGTAGCACTTGAGTGAACTGTCAAAATGTGAAAAAGAAAATTATTTTTTTGTTAATATTTTTTTACGCGCGAAGCCCCCCACTTTTTAAAATCATGGCGACGCCCATAAAAGGGTCAGAAAAAATGGCATCAAGTGGTTTTGAACTTCTGGAGGTATCCTCTAGTGGTCCTGAGAGTTTCAAAGAATGTACCCGAAATTGCATATGGGGGGTCATTTTCGAACGTAAGCCCACTGACTATTGAGATTTGTGAATACGGCCCCTGAATTGCGTCCGAGACGCGTTCTCACTGAGCCGATTGCAGCTATACGCGACGTCGCACACTGATCCGATGAATTATAGCAACTGCGCGCGCGTGTTTGTCGTGCCAATGCTTGCGCGCGCTTCGCCGAATAACAAAACGAACTACTAATTTAAATTTTCTTACGGTGCGTATTAAGACGCACTGTTGGAAAGGCCTTCTTTCGTTGATTACTTCAAAATGACAGCTTTGCAAGAAAGAATAATTTCACAGGGAGTTTAGTTCCCTTACTATCTTTCAACCAAGTATGTTTTTTCAACAATAATAATACCAGTAACTTTTCGGGTGGCTGCAAATGATGGACTATAGGCCGGTTTAAACTCGGCGCGAAAGCAAAGGCGAACGCGAATTTGGGACGTCAGGGCAAGTTTTCACGCTGCAAAGTCGCAAAATTACAACTCCTTTCAACTGAGGCGAATTTTGCAGAGAATGCTTCCCTACGTCAAATTCGCATCGCATTCGCATAAAATATGAACCGGCCTTTGAATATAAACACTGCTAAAGGAGAAAATCTACACTCATTAGAGGGTTCAAAAGTTTGAATCTGATCGGCGTATGAAGACGTGATTTATGTCAAACCTTTGTTTGCTACATTTTGATACCCTGTTTGCTACATTTTGATAACCTGTTTGCTACCAAAGACTGTTTGCTAACAAGATTAACTACGGTTTATGAATAATGATGCAGTTTAAAAAGCTGCAAATGTAAAGATTACGCAAGGAGAAATTGCTAAGCGCAAACACACATGCCCGTAATTGGCCCTTTGCACAGTGCCTGTACAAAGCGCAGGTCGTTTGAATAGCCCGCTTGATCTGTTACATCGCGCCCTCTGGAGGCATGCACACAATAGGGAACAAAATATTGTATACGTCTCCACAGGGCAATTTCTATAGATGAATATGTCTGCACAAGGTTTTCACGAAAAAGATATAAGGATTTTACTCAAAAACTAGGAATTTCACAAATGGTAGAGTTTTAGAAATGGGATATTAAGTCCGAATTTCAGCCCAAGGAAAATTATTCTGGTTAAAAAAAGAGCATTTTGAAACTGTACTTTCAAACTCGAAAACCTTAGTACACAAGCACAAAGAAATGTCTCCACAAGGATACAAATTTCGGCATGTGTGCTCCGATGCATGCGCGATCGATATTCCATTCGTTTGATTCCGTTCGTTCCCGGATCCTGCCGGTTGGCACTGAAAAGTCATGCTTCACACACTCGTACCCCGGTATGATGTCTGATGTGTAGTAGACACACTTTGACAGCATACAATGATTATTACAATTGATCTCACTTCATTTTCTGTGACGGTAAAAGAATGCAACAGCTTACCAGAAACAAGGTTATTATATTCTATGTACGCATTCAGGGAGGGTGGAGGCCGGGCGAGATACTTAACTACACAGTGCAACCGTGCACGGCACATCAATAATTCATTACCTGCCTTCATGAGTACATTCATTGTCTATTTGCAATATACATACACTGTTCTTACATGCCACATGGTCTCAATGAACTCTCACTCACTGTTTAATCCATTGCAATTCTTAAGTTTCACATAAGCTGATTAATAAGTTATAAATGTACCCAGATATATAAATATCCCCTATTGTGTAATAGATTTGAAAATAACATATCTGAGAAACGGAAAATTAAGACTTTTTTAGACCTGTATTTTATTTCTGTCTTCTAACATGGACTTTGATTTGTGCGTAAATGGGACAAACCAGAACAACGCCCTCTATCGTCTTAACGGGCGACAGGTATAACGTTTTGTTGGGGTGGGGTGACAAAATTCAGACTCAAACATATAAGCATTCTATGTTCAGAAAAAACATTGAAAAAACATTAATCACACAATCAAAAATGGAATGAAGGGCTCATAGCAATAATAACTCAGAATTCAGAACTTGTTTTTGACACTTTAGTCAGTCATAATTATAAATGTTCGGATTGCTAATAAATTCAGCTTTGTTTCGATAACACCAGCGATTCGTGATGATGTGACTTTTTTTTTAAATAATAGTCATGCTGTATATAAGGCCTTGGCCTTGAAGGTTAAAGCCCTGGCCTTTGCTCCAACACCGTTAAAGATGTCCGTTGACAAACTGCAAAGTTTAAACAGAACCAACTATTGAACTATTATTGAATTGACGCATTAGCAGATCCGGATGGGAAGGGAGGGGGCACACCTTTCTTATCTGAACGTTTTAGGAAATCAACTAAAACGTTGCGTATCTACAAGTTGAAGCTACTGGAGTCGTACTCGAGGCGTTGTGACTAATTTTTTTTATTTAATACTTGAGGTTCGTTTCAGCCATCCAGCCCGATCCTGGGCAGCATGAACAGCCTGATCGTGTTTAAGGCCGATGACGTTAAGGTGGTCTATTATCTATGAGAGGTAGGTACGACGCAGGCCTCCTCCCCATCGGAAGGGCTCTGATGGTTGGTTTTGGGGGTTCTGGAAGACAGCAAGAGACACCAGGTCTCCGCAGTGCGTGACCCCTCCGTCGCAAGCTATCAGCTACACAAATATTTTAGTTTTAAGATTACAATTTGGAAAAAAAAAACGGGTTAACAATTTCAGTATGGCTGATATAAACGTTTTCCATTCGTAAATAAACGCTATTCGTACGCCTACCAACAATTTCTTTTCAATTAGCAACCACACATATAATACTCGGTCCTCGAAACATAAATACACTCAAGTTAAATGTAAAACCACAGCTCTCCAACACAGCATTCGCTATCAAGGCTGCAAACTCTGGAACGGATTGCCGTCTTTCATTTTTGAAGCGAAGTCTTTAACTGTTTTCAAAACATTGTATAGAAACTACTTGCAAGGAAATTGATTTTGTTTATTTTGTTTATTACTCCTTTACATTCTCACAGTGTTTACATTGTACATTGTTTTATACATACATTCTTGTCTTTATTAAGTTAATGGAACATCTTAGGTTGGGGTGTGGTAGTTGGGCGTAAAGGGAACATTTGGGATTTTCTCTCGGGGGGGGGGGGTGGGTGGGTGGGGGTTTAAAAGGGAGTGTTTCATAAGTCCTTGGACTTCTTACAACTTCCTTATAACTTCTCTGCTTTTCATTTATCTTTGTTACTTATCTTTGTCATTTACTTTTATGTTTTGTTTATCTATTAAGTTACGTACTTTATATGTTTTCATTATGAATTAATGAAATAAAACTAGATTGATTGAACACGTTCAATTTATTACTAAGTGTGTGAGTTTTGCTTTTCTAATAGTCGAAGGTGAGCCCAGTACCGTGCAGCTTCTCCTTAGTCTTAGCGTCCATTACTTCGTTCTGTGCCACAGTAAAGTGAGACCTCCAATCACCAACCTTACCTACAAAACCCGGAGAAAAGAAATCGAAGAGAAACAAAACAAGACAATTAAAGGTTCGGTTTTCTTGGATACTGGGTTGGTCAAGCCACTTTGCATTAACATGTGCGTTACTAGAATGCTACATGCAGCGAATTAAATGCGGGCGATTCACAATGCAGTGCGCCACCAAGAGTTTGCCAAAGATAGTTCATTTTCCCAGTACATTGTGGGAGATGGTTGCAAAATTCACAGCGCGGTACTTTTGAAATTATCAGTTTGTCGAGTACGTTCGTAAGCGTATGATTCGCCCTCTTGTTTTGTATCAGTTTTTTTTTGTAAAGCGGCAGAAGGCTATGCCCAATCTATAACAAATTAGCTCAAGTTGTCTACTGATACTCATTCAAATGGCCCATGTTTTGTCGACTGTAAACTTGAAAAATTGACTCTCCATGGCAAACTCCAGATGGGCACTGCATGGTGAACTGCTCGAATAGGGAGGCAACCCTACAACATAACATTGTATCCCAAGGAAACAGTTTGTAGCACATTATTTGAAATCAAGGGGGAAATCATTGGGAATACATTTTGGTGTCTCTCTAATGCTTCAACTATCATTTCTTTTTTTTTAGTGCCACTTTCTCTTACTGGAGGGATCTTTTTGTTTTTCTAAGTGGCTTTTAATTTTACGGAGTCTTACTGTTTCAATATTTTGGTTCTCAGTATTTGTCTATTTGCGTTATGTGCCCTTGTAATTGTTTGCGTCATTGTTTGTGTATTACTTTGCACCATATACCTTTTTTATGTTTATATATATATATATTTACGATGTAATCGTCTTCTAATTTGTGTATGATTCTTTTTAACTTAGGTTTTTTTCACTTTTGTTTATTGTAGTTAGTTTATATTTTACAACCACCTTTTCTCTAAAGTTTAAATTTATGTTTTAATCATTTTTTTTAATCAATGTCAGGGCCCTATGGAAGACCACCAAAAGGTGAATATAGGCTACCCTGGATACATGTTAGAAATAAATAAATAAATATAAAAAAATCGTTAACTTGTTAATTGTGTGGACGTCAAAATATTTCAAACAATTTCTTGCGTCGAGAAAGATATAATTAAAAGTTTGGGGTGTATTTTCAAACGGGATTTACATGGGAGGGGTTTTGTTGTTTTGTGTTTGTTCACAAGTCTATGGGAATGTCAAGGTTCCATAAAGATACCTTAGAGTTCCATTCTCAGTTATCATTATTATCGTACGTTGCAAGAGCGACGTGCTGTGTGGGCCAATGTTGGGTAATATTGGCTGAAAATTGGCAAGGCCCTTCTCATTGTTTGTAAATGTGAAGACGATATTGCCAATGGTGCCAATATAGGACCAACTGAGTGCTAATATAATGAGAAAAAAACGTGCGTGGGGCCCATGTCAATGTTCACCAATGTTCAGTCAATGTTATGCCGATATTGCCATTGTTGCATAATTATAGGATCATTGCCAATGAGTAAGACGTACAAAGGCCCATATTGGGTAATATCGGGCCAATATCGGCCAAGTTCTACCCAAGATTGGCTTTCACGATCGGTATAATGTTGTTACCAATATGTGTCTGTACTGGTTGGGTTTCGACCACCAAGCTCACCGCGGCTGCCTAGCCGGTTCGAATCTGATTCAAATGCTTCAGTGGTTTATGCCACTCGTGAAAACTCGTACCTTTTCTCATAAATGACGCTTTGTCACCTGTCTTTTCGTCGACCGGCAACGCAAATACCGAATCCTGGTTCGCCATGGGGTTCTTCTTCATGTTGGCGAAGGTGCAGTGTTCTGTGATGGCGTCCAGTGTCTCAGCCGAGAAGTTCTTGCCCAAGAACTGACTGGTCTGCTCGACGATTCCTCTCAGGTCCTGCATAAAAAAGTAGGGAGTCAGCTTTGCTTGGCATCCCCCCCTCACCTTCCACCTCTATGGCCCGGGTTCGAATATCGCTCAGGTCCACGTGTGGATTGGGTTTTTACTCCCAACACGATTCCTTAGGTTTCCCCCGAATGCTTGAATTTCCTCCTACCCCTAAAACTGAACATTTCAGGTTTCTTTGTTTCAGGCTGTTGTGATCGAGCTACAACACCCTCGGTGCTTTTGAGGAATCCTTACTTTCATTACCAGAATTAAAAAGATAGTATGGTATTAAATAAAATAATTAATGGTATTACAAATAATTGAGGGCGACTTGGAATGCTACAAATGCTGCACCTTTAATGAAATCCACTGGTGGTTTCTTGAAATTGAAATTGAGAAATGAGCTTGTCGATGTTCAGGAACAAACTTTAAGTATCGTTGTAGGGAATGTGTGTAATATAGGCGTTAAAATAACAAGGAAAACCTATGACAACAATATCCGACAGGCAGAAGCATATTTTTGCACGATTTATTCGAAGTCAACATTATTTATATGCAAATTGTCAAGACTTCTCCTTAGCTCTCACCCTCTTCATGTCTTCAAATTGCAGCACGAGGATGTTTGGTTCGTGTCTCTTCCTCCAGAAGTACAAGTAGTGATCCCACCACGTACCGAAGATACCTGCAGAAAGCGAAACAGCTAGAGTCAGATCAACAAATGCTTCGTCCATTTAGGCACTGGCGTCGGACGCCGTGCGATACTTGTACGGCACCATGTGGCCAAACCTGGAAAGTCAGATAAGATTTGACTGTGATTGAAAAACATTATGCAGCATTTTCCTATGACATTGTCGGGCTACAACAAACCCGTGCTGACGGTGTACCTAGTACTTACATTTTTCATCTAACATATTTTCCAAAAACTCCGCAAAGGTCTCGGCTTGTTTGGTGGGGGATCGGTCCATCATCCGCATGAAGTGAAAGGTCGAGACCACGACGTCCTTAGGGTTGCGCATGACGTAGACGATCTTGGGTTTCTTCGTCCACAACTGCGGCGGCAGGAGTTGGCCCGGTAGATGCGACTTGATGACACGGGGTGATGGCATTTCAGCGACTATTTTGTGAGTATGAGGCATCTATGGGCAGCAGTGTACAAAATACAACACATGGCTTTGAGTGGAATAATAGTGTGAAGTTACTGGTCTCAGCCGGAAAAAGTAATTGAGTAGCTATGGTGGTCGCGTACTGCGCAATGCCATGAGGACAAGAATGAGGGTCCGCCTTTTTATAAAAAAAGGCCAAACTCCAAACTCAAATTCAAGCCTTTTCTTATGAAATTCCACAGCCGTGTTCATGAAAAGCAAAATACTCCAACCACGGTGTAGGCCTACTGTCTTCAACGCAATCGGAGTGCAACTATTTTGTTGTTCTCATGATTACACTCGGATATATCGGATTTCTAAGTCTGTTATCGGATCCTGTGTTGTGCTTTTACCTTCATATAAAGATAAGTGATAGCTCGGCTGATGCGTAACAATTCTAGACTTACATTTTTCATCCGGCGGATCGGCTCGGGCAGGTTCAACTCCAGGAAGGGAACCCGGAACGTGGTGTGTCTCTTGTTGACTTCCTCCAAGTTCCCGTCATGCATCACGCAGGACATGATTTCCTGCGCCCAGGTTGTTCCTATTGATCGGAGAAAATCATTATAGGCGGATGTGTTAATCTTTAACCACTGTAAAGCAAAAACTGTGGCATACTTTTTTTTTTAGTTGAACCAAAACGTAGACCCATGGATGGTTGTCTTGCTCTCTTAAAAAGTGTCCTGTTAGGAATGAATACAAGCGAGTGGTGAGGACGACCAACATTAATGAGGTCCAGCTTCGTCCATATTTTCGAAATTGCAACGTTCGGCAGGTTAGCTGGCGGCCTCAACCCGCCAGAAAATTAGGGTTGCAACTAAAGTTGTTCGTCTACCCGTTTGTGGCAGGCAATGGATCTGTTGCACAAAGAAAGGAGGTCAATTGCAGAGCAATATGTAAGTCTATTTTTGATAATTTTCTTAGCTTGTTTTGCTCAAAACACAATGGAGCGATTGTTGTAATTAACACCCCTCCCAAAAAACAACAAAAGAAATAGACAAACAAATAAATAATAACAAGTGTGTGGATAGAAACAATTACGTGCGCCTAACAAATGGAGAGGAGTCTGAAAGTTGAGAACAAAAATAAAATGACGAAATCAAAGGCTGTTTCGGAGTATGCAAAACACAGAATTCGAATATCCTATTCTTTGGTTGATACATAAGCATGGGGGTAAGCATGCGTTGTATGGTATGATTCAGTCGGACGATACGTGTTTGCCAATGTTAAGCAAAGACCAGGATTCCGTTCGAAGCCAACTCAGTAGCATGAGATAATAATTTGGTGTCGGTTGTACACCAAAGCTTCGTGTGACGGGGTTGTTCTCCATCTCCCACCTGCTTTGGGGTACGTGACGATCCAGGCATCGTCTTCCCTGACCTCGAAGTCCTTGAGGTCCCTGACGACCTCATCCATGCCCGGAGGAAGCACGATACCGTCCACCTCGCCATTGGGAGGGGGCTTGAAGTCGGCCGGCGCAATCATCGCTTGCATCTTCTGAAACAGTTCCCGATCTGAACGGATACGGAAACACCGTAAATAAGGGGAAAGCATAAGAAGATGAACGTGCATATGAGGACTACAGGGGAGGGCAGGGAGGGGCAGTGTTGTAGTCGAGTACTTTTTACCCGAGTACCGAGGACTGTCGATTACTTAGGTTACAAAGTGCGAGTGCAAGTACTTCCGAGTACAACTTTCTCCGAGTACGACTACTTGCATTTCCGAGTACGAGTACTTATATTCCGAGTACGAGTAGGAGTACTTCTAATTCCGAGTGCAGCCAAACGGCAAATGGCTCATTGTGCGCAATATTAGCCCAGGCCAAGTCCCACTCAAGGCTAGCTGTTAAATGTGTTTGTCCGGACACGCACAGAGGAAAATCAGGAAACTATTTCAAACTTAAAGTATTGATAATAACGCCGTGGTAAGTCAAGCTATGCCATTTCTTTTTTGAGGAATGCTATTCCAGTATGAGTACTTTCAAGACCTTGAACAATTTTGACATGTCCAGGACGAGTACCTTTCTGCTCGAGTACAAGTACCGTCATTTCAAGTACGAGTACTGTGACATTCAAGTACGAGTAGTACAAGTACTCTTCAAAAAGTGCTCGAGTAGTACTCAAGTACGGGTACGAGTACGAGTACTACAACACTGGGTAGGGGACATGAGCGTCGCCAGGATTTTTCCTAGAGGGGGGCAAAACATATTTTTCGAAAAAAATTCTTGTATTTCTCGACATATTCTCGATTTATCAGTTTTAGAGGGGGGCAGGGACATTTTGGCCCCCCCCCCACCCCATTAAATTTACACCACTATGACTTTGCGCCTTTTTTCTTTTTTTGTTCTCTTTTTTTTCTTCCTTCCCCCCCCCCCCTTTTCCGGGGGGGGGGGGGAAGCGCCCCCTTCCCTCCCCCCCCCCCTAGCGACGCCCATGGTAGAGGAGGGGGACACGTTTAACCCCCAGTGAATCATAGCTACGCAACGTTTTTGCCGATTGCAAAAAAGTCGTTGGGTTTTCGTAAATTCTGTTGGAAGTCAATAAGGCACTGAACTCTCTTTAGGATTTCCAGGGTTAGAATGGCAATTGATTCGAAAGCCACTACTGATCATCTAATTTTGGGTGGGCACAATTTGCGCCGGGTCTTGAGATAACGCCCAGACGAATACTTACATTCTTCGAAGGTGACGTACTTCTCCATGATGCCAGGATCGGAAGTTCTCAAGTCTGGTCAATTTCTGCAAAAGGAAACTTAGATAACTTGAAAATGTGACGTTACCATTGCTATAAATAGCCCCCAAAGGAACACATGGGGCTGGTACTATGCAGCAGATTTAGCATCTATCAAACTGTGTACATTCTAAAAAAAAAAAAGTCCCGGTACGATTTGAACCAAAATCAGGGGCGGACATGATCCGGTTCCAAATTACACTTTCGCTAAGATTTCCGGGTGAAAATGACCCAAAATGACTCGAAAATGATACAGAAAGTCTTCAGATGGAAACAGCAGGTAGGATACTTCCACTTGCCCAAGGTGACCGCTTCTCAGACTTGCCCCGCAGGCAAGGCCCCAAGCAAATTAGCTGGCACCGGAAACATGGATGACACATTCTTATAATTTTCAAGCATCAATCACAGGCCCGGATTAAGTGTTTCGTAGGCCGTAGGCACAAGTGTTCAGTAGGCTATACCCCGCCCAAGGCACCGGCACCAAATTCATGTTGATGCTATTAATGTACAAAATCAAGCCAGGATAAACTGGGCTAGGTCCTAGCTCTAAGCCTGCTGGCAACAAGGGCGTCAATCGTTTCTCAGAAGTGGTAGCCCCAATTTGGTGAACGCGTGCAAACATGTGGAGGTCTTCTTAAAAAAGAGTAAACAAAAGAGGGATAATTGGGGTCCCCCATTGCAAGCAAATACACACTTGTGTGTGTGGGTAGTCCTATTTATGTGTTTTATGGCACGCTGCGGTATTTTCGTAGGCCCCCAACTTTTACATAGGCCCCGAATTTTTCGTAGGCAGGCACATGTGCCTATTGGTAATCCGGGTCTGATCAATCACCATGTAAAGTAGGGTGGCAGGGTGCGAATTTTCTTTTTATATACGACATCCGCATATGTGGTTGTTTAGCGCCCTCTACGATACTCCAAGATTTGGCGAGCAGTGCTCCTTTTCCTAATTTTATATTTTGTTCTCATTTTTTTTTTTTTTTAGAAACGTCCAAAGTCCAAAACGCCATAGCGTACACCCATATGCGGATATCGTTTGGGAGAAAAAAATCGCTGGCGGGGTATGCCTACCTGACACCTGAAAAAAACCTTTGCGGATTTTGAATGATTTGGAATTATAGGCTAAGGGTTTATGGATAATCCATGCTGCATCGTCTAAGCTCTCAACCCAAACCATTTTTTTTTGCAACAAATTATATCATCCACCATCCAAAGTCATGCAGGTGCTGTCTGGTTGTATGCTGTACATATACTGGGTTTGTTAGTGGTGTAAATTGAGGATTTTCCATTGTTCCTCTTTCCTTATCTTGTGTAAATACCATCACTGCTTGTACAAGTTTTCTAACCAAGGTCGTCCGGTCCTGGATTTGGTTCCTGTCCTCAATTCATCGATGATATTGCACGTGTGTGTCCTCGATTACCATAAACCTACACAGGCACACTCTTCGCACTGGATATGATCGTCTGACATTATAGGTTTGAATCTCCTGCTAGGAAGATATGTCCAGAAGGGAGACATTGAGTACGTTGTCCCCATTTTTCGAAGGAACAGCTGGTGCGATATTAGGATAGTTTCCCTATGCTTCAACCAAATTTCGGAATGGAATATATTGACAGTCCTAAATATACACATTTGGGTGAATAGACTTACCGCACCGTGCTGTTCTTCAAAAAAATACGTCAACGTTATGCATCTGTATTGTTGCAACTGTGTGCTGCTTGACTCTATATCGCACGTGAAGCCAAAGGAACCCTGACCCGTATAGGTTATCATTCACCGCATCGCTATTTATAGATTCGTGTAGACGTTCTATTGATGGATTATTCGAAGGTAAATACGTGGGTACCACGCGCGGGGTCAGCTTTTATCCGTGTGCACAAAGCCGACCTAAATGGGTGCAGATATAGATCGGTCCGAAATAAGCCATTTGCGAGTAACCTATACCCTTTGGGATTTACATTTCAATAACATCTGGTACACTGACTTGCTCAGAATGCTTGGCACATTTTAACTTTGAATTCTCCAGACCAAAGACACTGTTGCTAATCACATGATTCGGGGCAAGCTCTCGCATAGTTACGTAAGAGACACTCAGCATCAATACATCGCTCACAATGGGTGAGAATATGGCACAAAGACACCAGACCATGCCAGAGCTGGGTGTTGCTACCATAAGGCTTGCCCCGAATCACGTGATGTAGTAACAGTCTCTTTTGTCGGGAGAATGCAAAGTTAAAATGTGCAAAGCATTGGATTAAGTCAGTGTTCCAGATTTTATTCAAATTTAACTCGCAAATGGCTTATTGCCTCCGCCGGCCAAATCACGATTTGCGTGCCCTCAAATTCTTCGGTATATTAGCATATCGCGGGCCATAAACTTTTTTTTATTGAGGGCTTTTTTGTACCAAATATTATGGGTGGAAGCCGTGCAGAGGACTGTGAGCTCGTATTTCTGTGAAATGTGGGTGGTTATTAGGCCCATAAATAGCTCTATTTCGCACTGGAGCGCAGGCGTCCATTTTCAAAATGGCGATGGGATTCAGGACTGCTTTTAGGGGTGGTCATGTTTGGATGGAATTTTCTCCCAAAAGTCTTTGGTTACCTCCCCCCCCCCCATAAAATTGAACAGAAAATGAAAGATGATGAAATAAGCTTTAATTTGATGAACGTCTTGAGCACCTCAGAGAGTTGTGATTATTTTTCCTGAATTTCTGAAGTCGGGGCATGTATCATTGGGGTCTATGGAAACGTATTGACCGGTCTGCAACCATATGCTTCTTCCTGGTTTATTGCCTTACATTCGAAAAGTGCGGGAGGGGGAGGGGGCGGGCTGGACACCACATTACACTACGTGGCGCTCTTCAGGATAAAGACGTATATCAATATATAATGTATACTCGCGCTTTCATCAGAACGGCGCATTTTTAAAGCTTTTGTTCTTTGTTTCGCCACTTTTCAGTACTAATGAACACATTTTAGTAGTTACGATGTTCAAAATATACCTCCAAATTCCGCATTTTTCTATTCTCATCACAACAAGTTTAGGGGGGGGGGGATGATTCATACATACCCATATGCCCTAGACAGTAATTGTGTGTGTGTGGGAGGGGGGGGGTAGACATTGCATTCACTGTGTGGACTTCCGCCCCTGACCAGCAGAGCAACCAGCAGAGCTTCAGGATAGCACTAGACAAAACAAATCTGCCAGCTGCTCATCCGCAAGCAGAGCTATTAATGGAGCGAAAAGCAAAAACAAAGTTGCGTCCATCATCCACTGGCAATTGTGTCGCCAGACAGGTATCAATGCTGTACACAGATGGTGCGAGCACACTCCTTCGCCAGTTGCAGACGATGATGTCATGAAGCTGCTGTGGGATCAGCCAGTACAAACAGATCGTGCCATCATGGCGAACAAACCTGACATCATCGCCATAGACAAACAACAACGTGAGGCTAAAATCATCGGAAGTCGGCATTCTTGAATAAACATCAGAAGGAAGTTTGCCAAGAAACGAGACAAATACCAAGACCTGGGTACTGAGATAGAGAAATGTGGCACTTGGGGGTACAGTTACACCTTGCAACATCCAAACTTGGAACGTTCACCCGTCGCTTCCTAAACCAACCCATCTAGCTCCTGGTGTATCATCAACTGCGATGGAAACCTACAACAGACAAAGTGGCTAAGCTTTTTTTCTTTGGACTAATCATAGTCTCGAAAACTGTAGTCCGCTGGCTGGTAAATGTAATGTTAACTAGAAATAATAATGATAATGGACATTTATAAAGCGCAAACATAGCCACCATGAGGTGCTCACGGCGCTATACATAATTTTAAACAAAGCAAAACAGCAGCAAAAAATAACAAAATCAATATGAATTAAATAGACAATCTGAACAAAATTAAAGGTCAGCAACCAAAGAGCAGAAAAACAAAAATAAACATAACTGCACATGTATTATATGAAAGCTAACAGCATGAGATGAGTTTTGATAGATATTTTCGAGCTGGACACTTCATTAAATAGCTAAACGGGTGTTTCGAGAAACAGACAGAAAAACTGTTAAACAAAATCGTTGGAAATTTTAAATTTTGGACTTGCTTTAGTTTTTGCACATAACTTTTTATTTTTTTTTTACCAGGAAGGTATTTATAAATGACAATAAACATGTGCTTGGTCGTTATTAAACACTATGTTTAAGACTGGCTGGAGTTTGGAATGCTGTCTACGCCCCTCGGCGAAGCGCGTAGACCAATCGTGGCGATTGAGCCAATACCAACAGTTTGATACGGTCACATAACATCTACAGATTTGTCACAATGATACAGAATAATCTCTACACAATATTTATTAACTAAACTAATTAACATAAAAAAAACATTGAATGTGGATACTTCCGCTAACCCCAGATGTTATTATTTTCCCCGGATGTGATTGCCTTCATTTTTTTTTTTGAAATCACTTACTGGTTTTCAAGGGATTGAAATAATGTCGATGGCCCCTGTCACGTGACGAACTAATAAATTGTCAAATTGTCTCTAGTTGCATTTCGGGACACAGTATTTGATACTGCTGCGCCTATGGAGGGCGCCTGAAACAAAAGTGCCTTGAATGTTTGACAACGTCGATGGAGTCAGGTTGTTATTCCATGCACTGATTACTTTCCTGTTAAGATGGTTAAAAGTGAAAAGAAAATTGATTGACTTATTCTGCATTATATTCTCCACAGCCCAAGCATAGTAAGTTTGCCAGACATGCATGGTGCGTGTTTTTTTCAATTTCTAATTGCAGTTGACGTTGAGCCCAGTGCCGTGCAGCTTCTCCTTAATGAGGGCGTCCATGGCTTCGTTCTGTGCCACAGTGAAGTGGGACCTCCAATCACCAACCTTGCCTGCAAACGGGGAGAAGACGGGGGGAAATGAACGTGTGGTTTCATGGGATATGCCTACTGGGTGGATTACTTCACATAATATTGTGCGTTACTACCGCCCTATGGCCGGTAGTTAGTTTATCACTAAAATACGGTCGATCGAATTGTCTATCGTATCCTATATGTAGATATTACAAATGATACCTTATGGAGACACTCTCGAGTAAATTGGTTGATGTGACGGAGCATTGGATGTGCCATTATCGAAAGTTGCTTAATGATCCTTTGGTCAAAAAAATATTAATACAATTGACATGTTTTGGTGAATGTTTTAGGAATGCGGTTATGCAATACTGTTGGTGTGACAAGTCGGAACTGGCTAGCTCGGTGGTCGAGTGGTAAGGCGTCGTGTGCACTAGAAAGCAAGAGGTCGTGGATTCGAGTCCATCCGAGTGACTTTTTTCTTCCTTTAACTTTCACTCGAGATGTAAAACACTTTACATTAAGATGTTTTCTTAACGTCCGATCACTCCCTGAGCTGATGACGAAAACAATGTCTCACTAAGGGTACCGGATTTCCCATAATATATTAACCACCTGACTTAAGGAGGAAACTTACGGGCCGGTTCGAATCTGATAAAACAATATAAACTGTGGTTGCATCCGCCATGAAAACTCGTACCTTTTCTCATAAAAGAGGCTTTTTCGCCTGTGTCCTGGCCACCTGCATTCTCAATAAGTGTGTCCGGGTTTGCCATGGGGTTCTTTTTCATGTTGGCGAAGGTGCAGTGTTCCGTGATGGCGTCCAGTCTCTCGGCTGACAGGTTCTTGCCCAAGAACTGACTGATCTGCTCGACGATTCCTCTCAGGTCCTGCATAGATACGCAGAAGTATAGGGAGTCAGGTTCTTTCCTCGCCTTCCACCTCTGTGGCCCGGGTTCGAATCCACCCAGGTGTACATGCATGTGTACAGGGTTTTCATTTCAAACCTCATTCCCTACGTTTTGCCCAGGATTTGTGATTTTACCCCTGGAATTGAACAATTATTGTTTATGGTTTCTCTCAACAACCTTTACCCCCGACCTCCGAGCGTTGGCGGCTTTCCCACTTTTGATAATTCCTTGGCCACACAGCAAGAAATATGTTACAATAACACCAGCATAAATAAAGCTCATTGTCCAAATCCGATAGGTAATATTATTATTATTTTTTTAAGTGTCCCGATTTTTCTTTAGCTCTCACCCTCTTCATGTCTTCAAACCACAGGAGGAGGATGTTTGGTTCGTGTCTCTTCCTCCAGAAATATAGGTAATGCTCCCACCACGGACCGTACATAGCTGCAATCGAAAAGCCAGACAAATTAATTTAGGAATATTCCATTGAGACACAATAGAAGCACCAAGTTTTCGACGCCGTGCGGGACTTCTATGGCACCCTGTGGCAGTGCAACATACCTACTTACTTTTTCCTTCCAGCGCCTGATCGAAGAAATCCCCAAAAGTCTCGGCCTGTTTCTGCTGGGAACGGTCCATCATTCGCGTGAAGTAGAAGAACGAGACCACGAGGTCCTTGGGGTTGCGCATGACGTAGACGATCTTGGGTTTCTTTGTCCACATCTGAGGCGGCAGTAGCTGGCCCGGTAAATGAGACTTGATGACACGGGGTGATGGCATCTCAGCGACTATCTTGTGAATCGGAGGCATCTATGGGTGATTCCAATATTGAATCTAATGTTGAGAAGAAGTTACATTGGAGGGGGAAAATATGCACAATCCGCCCATATGGGACCTATGGAATCGTTTTGCCCCAATTTGAACGACCCTATATCTGTCAAGGTGTGTTAAAAGACAAACGTTACCTTTTTCTGTACATTTCTATTAAAGTGTCAATTTTTTTTTACGATACCCTTTAATGTGTTTTTTTTTTTGAGGGGGGGGGGATAATTTTTTTGTCCAACGATTTGACCTAGGTGATATGCATGTTCCTATTCCGAGGAGTATAATAGGGGTGAAAGTGGCGCCACCAACGTCAACATATTCCGTCTCCCCCTCCTCCCCCCCCCCAAAAAAAAGTGACAACAAACTTGTGAGCCCTCCCCCCCTCCCCCCCTCCCCCCCCCCCCCCCCCCACCTAAGCCAAATCCTGGGTGCATCACTACATTAGCCTTGTTCAGATATGGTGGACACAGCAGGGGGGTTCTATTAAGTTTGAATACATTTAACCAGAGGAGCACTCAAAACAAACAACACCCTGCTCTTACATTTTTCATCTTCAGGGCCGGCTCGGGCATACCGAACTCCAGGAAGGGAACCCGGAACACAGTGTGTCTCTTGTTGACTTCCTCCAGGTTCCCATCATGCATCACGCAGGACATGATCTCCTGGGTCCAAGTTGTGCCTGGTGGTTGGAGGAATTTTTTTAAAAATATGATTCATTACCAGGGCAAGTAGTGGGAGCGTATCATTATGATCATACTGCTCCCGAGATGGGCATGGTTGGAGGTTTCCAAATACTACCGGTACCTGCTTTGGGATACGTCACGATCCACGCGTCGTCCTCTCTGACCTCGAAGTTCTTGAGGTCACTCACGATCTGGTCATTCCCCGGAGGAAGCACGATACCGTCCACCACGGGTTTTTGGCGGGGCGGGAGGTCGGCCTGTGCCATCATTGATCGCATCATTTGCATCATTCCCTTATCTGTACGCCATTCGGAAACACATAGAGGGGAAGCAAAAGGAGATAGGGCTTAAAGACACACAGGATCAATGGCATCATTTTTTATACAAAAGGTCTACCTTAAAGGGGAGTCAGGTTGGCGTTGTGTCACTTTCCTTGCCTTCCACTGCTGTGACCCGGGTAATAGTCACGCCTAGGCCAAAGTGTGAATTGGGTTTTCAGTCCTTGCCTGATTCCGTGGGTTTCACCCAGAATATTCTTCTGGGCTGTTCACCACACCTCTATAACTGTAATTTCTTCTTATTGTCTTCTCTCCACAGATTTCTTCAGGCTTGCGAGCTACTGACTCGACTGCCTAGGGTGCTTTTGAGGAATCTTTGGTTTCATCACCGGAATAATTAATAATTATAATAAATATAATAATAATTGTACCTTCAGAATTATCATCAAAAACCTTACTTGGATTGAAGATCGCACTGGCCTTAACACCCCTTGACATTTTTGAAATTATACCGTCTGGTTTGCTGTCATGCAGACAAAATCAAGAAATGTAGGCGATTTCCAACGACCGGACAATATTGATTTTTGGACGCTAGGCAACACTTCACCTACTTTTTAGCCCAATTTACGGACAACTCACTCCCCCCGTTTTGGTTTTCAAATAATTTTCCATTGATATTTGTACAACTATGTCGGTAAGTAACTTTGTGAATTTTTATGAAGCTCATCAATATTGACGTTTGGCGAGAATATTTGATAATATCTGAGGAAAAAGTAAATGCGTGCAACTTTAGGGTAGGCGTATAATGGTAGCCAGTTTTGATCTTTATTATGTCCTCATAATCATGTGATATGCTTTAGAAAATGTTATTTAAGCAAGGACATGTAATAATTTACAGAAGAATTACAAAAAAATATATACAACTGTATATACTTTTCAAACATTAACAAAATATATACCCAGATATGGGATGACATATATTACACGTACTGTCGGTATTAACGATTTATGCATAAACAAATAGGCATAAGCCTACTGTATTTCCACCACTTGGATTATTTTATGACTTTTAGCATGTTATTCTAGGGACTCTAGGGAATATAGAAATGCACTTTTGGTGAAAAGCAATTGCAATTTGTGTGAGGTTCACTTAAGAAAGAACTATTTTGCCTGGTTTAAGTAGCAAGTGGGTGGTTTATACACCTGGTGAATAAACCACTGAAGTAAATCTACACCCATCAGACGAATACTTACATTCCTCAAGGGTTACGTACTTATCCATTGTGCGGTACGGTGGAAGTTCCCTCACGTTTATTATATTTCTGCGGAGTGAAATTTGAGTATATATTCAGATGACATCCACTATAAAAACATAAGCATGCAAGTATTTCAAATTCAGGACTCACAGAACTGAAAGTTTTAGACAACCACACATTACCCCCACCCGTGCCCAAACGTATAGGGGTACTTGTATATACCTATGTTCCCCAATACCAATGTTCCCAACCTTTACCCTAACCCTAACCCAAGCCCTAGCCCTTATCCTAATCCTAAAGATTTTGGGAAACATGAATAGGTATTGGGAACACAGGTATTGGGAAACATCGGATAGACCCCTAAACGTACTCACCGTGCCGGTGCAACAATATTGCGGGCCAATGTTTCAACCACACACGAACGCTCCCTGTATTCCGTACTCCGTTGAAGGCCAAGTGCACTCCCTCGTCCAATGCAACGCTTGTTATACGGTAGGCCTTGTTGCATGCAACCATCGAAGCTTATGTCAACACTGACTGATGAAATTCAATGGCAATGTACTTTGGTGCAGGGAAGGCGCGGGGTCAACTGTCATCGCAGTGTACAGTCTACCCGTCACGGTGGCCCATTCCGAACGCTGCAAGACCCCTCTCCAATGTTTCGTAGAGATGAAGCACACTTTGCATTTTAATTGTTATTTTTACAATTTCGATTTTTTTTTTAAATTCAAATTTACGCCTGAAGAATCTGATTTTAGCTCAAATATAAGCCTCTCAAAACGAAACATTCAATTGTATTCATGGAGTTACTAGCGAAGTTCATACTCGGCGCGAAAGCGAACGCGCTGCGAATTCAAAAAAGTTGAACACATTTCAATTCCGGCGAATTCCGGGCAGCGAATGCTTCGTAAAATCAAATTCGCATCGCATTCGCATTCGCGTGAAGTATGGGGGTTCGCTCATAAGTCTGGCGCCTCATAAGTCTGACGCCTCATAAGTCTGACGCCTCGCGGGTCTGAAAATTTGGACTTACGAGGCGTCGGACCTAGAGGCGTCGGACTTATGAGGCATAACATTTTATTTATTCCGCCTCATTGGCCTCATATTGAAAAAAAGAAGCCCAAAATGGCTACATATAGCTTATACGATATGTGCTTTTAAAAGGTGGAGGCCCTTTCTATTTGATTGTAATGGATAGTTGGCGACAAAACCTTCTTAAAGTGATTATTCAATACTTGTAAAGCTATTAAGCATCTGAACTTCTCAACCATTTTTTTTTAACAAATAATGTTATGCCTGAAACTGAGAAATAAAAGAACAATTGATGCAGCTTCAAAAAGGAAGCTGGCGGGGCGATCAACTGGATTACCTTTTTACTTAGCCTTATTATTATGGCTATCATTATTATTATTATTATTATTTATTTGACCCAAACGACATTACAATATTATAACATAGCACGAAATGGGAAAACACAATGACATAAACACTCAAATGAAAAAAAACACCAAATAACCAGAAAACAAAACAAACTTAATTATACAAACAAGATGAAAAAAAAAACAGGATAGAGTGGAGTACAGGATACTTTTTAGGGAATTATGTATTTTTCTAGCCTTTTTTTTGTATATCTATTTGTGCTTGTTAAACAATAAACTACACTTAAAAATTATGTAGCCATTGCCGGCAACATCAATTCAATTTGGCACAAATCTGGTAACATGCATTCTGCAAGTGTTAAACTGAGTTAATACATTTATCGGTGCTACATCCGAACATTTATAAACCACTGAGCGCATTTGCTTTGCGTTTAGAGGTCAACATTGTGCGGATCCTAACCAGATGATGTACAGAAACAGAACATGAACATGTCTGTGTGCATGTAGTTTTATTCAAAATAAAGTGTTTGGTAACCCTTAGCAGTCGCACTGCTAATATTCCATAGCGACAGCGCATTATTTGGACAGCTTAACTCACCACTAATTCAGCAAACTTGGAAAAAGAGGTTTTTCGGTCTTTTCTTTGAAATCAATGGTGCCCAATCATCCATGTCGAAGAGAGGCAAATACGGTATCTAATGAATGACCCTTTAAGACAGATACAACTTTGACATTTTTGAAGTTCATAACTTTTACATACTAGCAAATTGTTTTTCGATTACTTTTTTTTTTTTTTTTTTTTTTTTAAATACAATACACCCTGTATATTTGGTATATTAAATTGCGTGCTAAAAATCGAAGTTGAGCCCGGTACCGTGCAGCTTCTCCTTCATGAGGGCGTCCATGGCTTCGTTCTGTGCCACAGTGAAGTGGGACCTCCAATCACCAACCTTGCCTGCAAACGGGGAGAAGACGGGGGAAAATGAACGTGTGGTTTCATGGGATATGCCTACTGGGTGGATGAAGCCACTGCCCACGGACACGTGTACGTGTTCATCTTTTCAAACCGTGGACGAAAAATACCATAGAACAAAAGAGAACAATATCGTCCACGATTCCCAGCATATGTCCGCGATCGGGGTCGTGTACAAAACATATGGGAGTCTTCCTAGAAAGTGCAAACAAAAGCAGGACAATAGGACGTCCACAATCGACGGTGAACAGACGCTGCAGGACAAGGCCTTAATTTCTATGGTCGTCAAATGGCATATAATTATTACATAATGCTACCTTAGGAAGACACTCTCAGGTAAATTATTTGACATTAGGTAGCATCGGGCATTACGGAGACAATTGAATGTGCCAGTAACTATATGTATACAATTTATCGTCGAAAGTTGCTTAAAAGGAGCCTTGGGTGAAAAATAGCATAACTGAAAGGTTTTGCTAAACGTTTTTAGGAATGCGGTGATGAAAGGATTTTTTGGTCAGTGGGAATATCGCCCAAAGGTCAAAGTTTTGTAATATTAATATTACCAGTAAGTTACATTCCCATGGACATTATTTATGAGGAAGCCATTTTAGTTGTGTTCCCTGAATATATTTTATACATTGTGAACTGTTGAAGGAGATGGTACCAGACTATTTATGTATTCTAGCCTCACTTTCAAACATTAAGGTATGTTTAATCACAGCGTTTTAAATTATTCATCAGAGCAGACTGTTATTGATTTGTAACTAACTTAACGTCATTGCTTTGATTTCTCTTCGCAAGTTCCAATAATGACGATTTTACCTCGCTTTCAATTTAATACGGCCGACCCGTGAATAAAGCGAATAGTATTGTGCACACAATTTTTCCAACTTAAATGACCCCTAACCCCTATTTTCCCTTTATTCTACCCCACGAATGTTTGTATATTTATGTTTTGGACCACGATCAATCGATCTAGCCTTTTTTGCGACGGTGACATTTTGCCTCTAAATAGGAGTTGTGACACTAGGTAGACATAAAGATGTCTTCCTAATGTCCGGTGTCACCCTAAGGTTTTACTAATTACAAAAAATAATTTCCTGAAGTAACAGGTAATGCCTACAATTATTAATACGCGCCCTCTGTTGATAACACCGGAAATGCACACTATCAGTAATGAACCGCGTGACAAGATTAAACCTAAATTATGAGCGGGCGCCTTAATAAATCAAACACCAAACTTTCCGGGCTTTTTGGGCCCACTCGAATCTGATTTTAAAAATGTGGGTGCATACCGCTATGACAGACTCGTACCTTTTCTCATGAAAGACGTTCTGTCGCCTGTGTCCTGTCCACCTGGATTCTCAAAAACCGTGTCCGGGTTTGCCATGGGGTTCTTCTTCATGTTGGCGAAGGTGCAGTGTTCCGTTATGGCATCCAGTGTCTCGGCTGAGAGGCTCTTGCCCAAGAACTGACTGATCTGCTCGACGATTCCTCTCAGGTCCTGCATAGATACGCGGAAGTAGGGAGTCAGCTTTGCTCGGGTTCTCTCCTCGCTTTCCACCTCTGTGGCCCGGGTTCAAATCCACCCAGGTGTACATGCATGTGTACAGGGTTTTCATTCCCAACCTCATTTTCTACGTTTTGCCTAAGATTTGTGATTTTAACCCAGGAACTGAACATTTGTTTATGGTTTCTCTCAACAACCTTTACCCCCTGACCATCGGGCGTTGGCGGCTTTCCCGCTTTTGATAATTCCTTGGCCTCATAACCAGAAATAAATAACAACAATAGTACCAGCATAGAATAAAGCTCATTGTCCAAATCCGATAGATAATATTATTATTATTATTATTTTAAGTGTCCCGATTTTTCTTTAGCTCTCACCCTCTTCATGTCTTCAAACCACAGGAGGAGGATGTTTGGTTCGTGTCTCTTCCTCCAGAAATATAGGTAATGCTCCCACCACGGACCGTACATAGCTGCAATCGAAAAAGCCAGACAGATTAATAAATGGATAATACATTCAGACACACCGATAGAAGTACCAAGTTATGGACGCCGTGCGGGACTTCTATAAGGCACGCTGTGGCAGTGCCACATACCAACTTACTTTTTCCTTCCAGCGCCAGTTCGAAGAAATCCCCAAAAGTCTCGGCCTGTTTCTGCGGGGAACGGTTCATCATTCTCTTGAAGTAGAAGAACGAGACCACGAGGTCCTTTGGGTTGCGCATGACGTAGACGATCTTGGGCTTCTTTGTCCACATCTGAGGCGGCAGTAGCTGGCCCGGTAAATGCGACTTGATGACACGGGGTGATGGCATCTCAGCGACTATCTTGTGAATCGGAGGCATCTATGGGTGATTCCAATATTGAATGTAATGTTGAGAACGAGTTACATTGGAGGCGAAAAATACGCACAATCCGCCCATATATGGGCCCTTTTATGTAATCGTTTTTTCCCCAATTTGAACGACCCTAGACATATCTCTCAAGGTGTGTTAAAAGAAAAATGTATCTTTTCTCTTTACATTTATTTTAAGTGTCCAATTTTTACGATACCCTTTCATGTCTGCGTTCATGTACTCCGTCCATTAGCCCAGTGGCGCACCAAAAGGGGCGGGGGGCCGCTCGGGGGCTTGAGCCCCCTTCCCCAAAAATGTTGTCATTTTTTTTTTTTTGGGGGGGGGGGGTTAATGTTTTTGTCCCATGATTTGACCTAGGTGATATGTATGTTTTCTATTTCCAAGTAGTATAATGGGGTGTAAGTGGCGCCACGAACGTCAAAATAGTCCGCTTCCAAAAAAAAAAAAAACATTTGAGCCCCCTCCCCACAAAACTTGTAAGGCCCCCCCCCTACCAAATCATGGGTGCGTCACTACATTAGCCTTGTTCAGATATGGTGGAAACAGGAGGAGGGTTCTATTCAGTTTGAATACATTTAACCAGAGGGGCACTCAAAACAAACACCAATCTGCTATTGCGTTTGCTATATTATCTTCGGTAGGCTGAATAACCCTGACTTACATTTTTCATCTTCAGGGCCGGCTCGGGCATACCGAGCTCCAGGAAGGGAACCCGGAACACAGTGTGCCTCTTGTTGACTTCCTCCAGGTTCCCATCATGCATCACGCAGGACATGATCTCCTGGGTCCAAGTTGTGCCTGGTGATTGGAGGAAAAATCAACCTATGTTTTCGAAAACACCGTACACTATGACATTTACATTAGACTATGTCCCCCCCCCCAAAAAAAAAAAACACCTCGATTCACACCCCAATTCACATTAGGCTTCAACTGATGGGAGTATTGTTGACATGTTTCTTACATATGATTTTAGGCTTTGCATGGTGGAGTATCGGTATCGTTCGGTTTGCGGTAACACCTTGTGGTAATAACTACTGCTTAGAAGATACTTAGTTTCGAAAAGAAATGTCCTGCTCATTATCAACTTTCGCTATGTAGTTTTTGTTCTGATAAGAACAATCCTGCTTTAAGTTATAAACGAACTTGTCTTTGGTCTCAACGTTTCGACTTGCTTGCTCTAGTCTTCGTCAGGAGACATGTTTCTTACGTTCCATTATACAGTATGTCCCCCAAAAAGTGTCCGCCTGACTGTTTTTAACATAACTATGGAACCACGAGGTCAATTTTTAAAAATGTTACTTGATCAAAACAACATGTTGGGGAGCCTGAACCCAATTCCTTGCCTTAGTCAACTAGACGAACGGGATTTTACCCAGCTTCCATATCACAACACTCAAATTGATTCAGCAATAAAGGTTTTTTTGATAAGAATCTGATTAAACGAAAATTGCAGGGGCATTACAAGTTTGACAAAAGGTCTTACTTTGCCGTTCCCGTTCTACGTCCCTTCCGTCTATACCCTGAACATGGCAAACATACACAAACACTGATTTCGAGCATGGCCGGCTACCAGAATATCCCGCAACTTATTATACTGTGTGTGTTTTTTGTTTGTTGGGGTGTTGGGGTGTTTGTTTGTTTGTTTGTTGGGGTGGGGTGTATTTTTTTTTAATTTTTTTTTTTAAATATAATTCAGTACCAGGGCAAGTAGTGGGAGCGTATCATTATAATCATACTGCTCCCGAGTTGACCTGGTTGGAGGTTTCCAAATACTACCGGTACCTGCTTTGGGATACGTCACGATCCACGCGTCGTCCTCTCTGACCTCGAAGTTCTTGAGGTCACCCACGGTCTGGTCACTGCCCGGAGGAAGCGCGATACCGTCCACTACGGGTTTTTGGCGGGGCGGGAGATCGTCCTGTGCCATCATTGATTGCTTGTTCTGTATCATTCCCTTATCTGTACGCCATTCGGAAACACATAGAGGGGAAGCGAAAGGAGATAGGGCTTAAAGGCACACGGGACCATTGGCATTATTTTTATACAAAAGGTCTACCTTAAAGGGGAGTCAGGTTGGCGTCGTGGTACTTTCCTTGCCTTCCACTGCTGTGACCCGGGTAATAGTCAAGCCTAGGTCAAAGTGTGAATTGGGTTTTCAGTCGCTGCCTGATTCCGTGGGTTTTCCCCAGAATATTCTTCTGGGCTGTTCCTCACACCTCTATAACTGTAATTTCTTCTTATTTCTTCAGGCTTGCGAGATACTGACTCGACTGCCTAGGGTGCTTTTGAGGAATCTTTGGTTTCATCACCAGAATAATTAATAATAATAATATATATACAAATTGTACCTTCAGAATGATCATCAAACACCTTACTTGGATGAAAGACCGTACTGGCCTTAACACCCCTTGAAATTATTGAAATTATTCCGTCTGGTGTACTGTCATGCAGAAGAAATCAAGAAATGTAGGCGATTTCCAACGACCTGGCAATACTGACTGATTTTTGGACGTTAGGCAACTCTTTGCTTACTTTTAGCCCAATTTACGGACAACTCACCCCCCCCCCCCGTTTTGGTTTATAGCCTAAATATCAAGACTTTTTTTTTTTCAAATGATTTTCCATTTATATTTGTAAGGACAACTATACTCGTAAGTAACTTTGTGAATTTGAAGCTCCGATCAATATTGACGTTTGGCGATACTACTTGATACTATCTGAGGAAAAAGTAAATGCGTGCAACTTTAGGGTAGGCGTATCATGGTAGCCAGTTTTTATCTTTATTATGCCCTCATAATCATCCGGTCTCTGATATGCTTTAGAAAATGTTATTTAAGCAAGAACATATAATAATGTACAATAGAATTACCAAAAAATATATACAACTGTATATACTTTTCAAACATTAACAAAATATATACCCAGATATGGGATTAAATATATTACACGTACTGTCGGTATTATTGATTCATGCATCAACAAATAGACATAAGCCTACTGTATTTCCACCACTTGGATTTATTTTAGGACCTTTAGCATGTTATTCTAGGGACTCTAGGGAATATAGAAATGCACTTTTGGTGAAAAAAAGGCAATTTGTGTGAGGTTCACTTAAAAAAGAACTATTTTGCCTGGTTTAAGTAGCAAGTGGGTGGTTTATACACCTGGTGAAGAAGGCATGAGCTATTAAACCACCCAAGTAAATCTACACCCATCAGACGAATACTTACATTCCTCAAGGGTTACGTACTTATCCATTGTGCGGTACGATGGAAGTTCCCTCACGTTTATTATATTTCTGCGGAGTGAAATTTGAGTATATAGTCAGAAGAAATCCACTATAAAAAAACATAAACATGCAAGTATTTCAAATTCAGGACTCACAGAACTGAAAGTTTTAGACAACCACACATTACCCACACCCGTGCCCAAACGTAAAGGGGTGAATACCTATGTTCCCCAATACCAATGTTCCCAACCCTTACCCTAACCCTAACCCAAGCCCTAGCCCTAATCCTAAAGATTTTGGGGAACATAGGATAGGTATTAGGGAACATAGGTATTGGGAAACATCGGATAGACCCCAAACGTACTCACCGTGCCGGTGCAACAATATTGCCGGTCAATGTTTCAACCACACACGAACGCTCCCTGTACTCCGTACTCCGTTATGTAAGTGAAGGCCAAGTGCACTCCCTCGTCCTATGCAACGCTTGTTATACTGTAAGCCTTGTTGCATGCAACCATCGAAGCTTAATAATGTCAACACTGACTGATGAAATTCAATTAGGAATCAATTAGGAATCAACTGTACACACTCTTAAAACATCCTATAATACATGCAAGAAAGCTTTGCTGCTAACTTTCATATCAAACTTAAATGTTTATGATTATATTGAGCATTATTTTAAGTAATCCCGTTTCTAAACACCCCTATGCTGCGTGTGGTGTAGGACGCTAGCTGAAATGGATTTCATCACTGCTCCCTTCTCGTTGTGAATGCGAAATTGAAGGGTCCAAGCCGATTACCAGTCACCAGTCCGTTTCGCTTAATGTGAAGGCAATACGTACGTACGCGTTTGGGGTCTGAATAACCAACAAAAATGAAATGTAAGCATCTAGAAAGCGTAATTCTTCAAACTACATTTCACAAGTTGGCCATCTTTTTCATGTGTTTCTTGAAAGACAAGGACAAGTATCGGAGTATGTGTATGTATAAGCCTATTAAAGAAATGCAGATGCAGGCAAAAAGTTGGAAAACACATTCGAGGGTTTCTTGATTTCTGAAACCCTGCAAATAAAAAAAAATCAAAATCTTTCATAAAATCCCGAAGTGATTTAAAACGTAAATTAATAAATACGGCCAATACTTAACGTTAATGACTGAAAACTAAAAACAAAAACCTTAAAGTATTACTTTTCACTCCATAGTTTATTACGCCCAGCGGGCCGAAACAAGCAAAACAGCAGCAAAAATGAAGTAAACAAAATCCATATGTATTAAATAGACAATCTGGACACAATTAAAGGTCATCAACAAAATAGCAGAAAAACAAAATAAACATAACTGCACATGTATTATATGAAAGCAAGCAGCATGCGATGAGTTTTGAGAGATATTTTCGAGCTGCACACTCCATTAAATAGCTAGACGGGTTTTTCGAAAAACAGACAGAAAACTGTTGAACAAAATCGTTGGAAATTTTATATTTTGGACTTGCTTTAGTTTGTGCACAGAATTTAATTTTTTTTACCAGAAAGGTATTAATGAATGACAATAAACATGTGCTTGGTCGGTATTAAACACTATGTTTAAGACTGGTTGTAGTTTTGAATGATGTAGACCAATCGTGGCGATTGAGCCAATACCAACAGTTTGATACGGTCACATAACATCTTCAGATTTGTCACAATGATACAGAATAATCTCGACATAATATTTATTAAACTAAACTAATTAACATTAAAAAAAAATTGAATGTGGATACTACTGCTAACCCCAGATATTATTATTTTCCCTGGATGTGATTGCCTCCGGTTTTTTTTTTAAATCCTTGTCACTAACTGGTTTTCAAGGGATTGAAATCATGATAATGTCGATGGCCCCTGTCACGTTACCCAGGTACCGTGACGAACTAATCAATTGTCTAAATTGTCTCTAGTGACATTTCGGGACACCTTATTTGATACTGCTGCGCCTGTGGAGGGCGCCCCAAACAAAAGTGCCTTGAATAGTTGACAACGTCGATCGAGTCAGGTTGTAATTCCATGCACTGATTACTTTCCATAAGATGGTTAAAAGTGCAAAAATGTTGATTGACTGATTCTACATTATATCCTCCACACCCAAAGCATAGTGTTTTCCAGACACGGTGCGGGTTTTCCAATTCCTAGGTGCAGTCGACGTTGAGCCCAGTGCCGTGCAGCTTCTCCTTCATGAGGGCGTCCATGGCTTCGTTTTGTGCCACAGTGAAGTGGGACCTCCAATCACCAACCTTGCCTGCAAACGAGGAGAATACCGGGGAAAATTGAAGGTGTGGTTTCATGGGATAGAATGGTACCTTAAGGAGACACTTCACTAGAAAATTGTTTGATGTGAGGAAGCATTGAATGTTCCAGCAACTACCACATTTTTTCGAAAGTTGCTCAAAAATCCTTTGGTCAAAAAGTTTGATTGTCAGGTTTAGGGTGAATGTTTTCAGGGAATGTTTTCAAAAAGGTGGTTATGAAATATGTTGTTGTTGTTGTGGACAAGCCGGGACCGGCTAGCTCGGTGGTCGAGTCGTAAGACGAGGTCTGCACCAGAAAGCAGCCGATCGTGCGATCGAGTCCCACCCGAGTGATTGTTTTTCTTCTTCTAGCTTTCACTGGAGATAACACGCTGAATATGTAGTCTTTATACGTCGATGAAGGGCAACAACAAATATTACTAGTACTGATAGCTGAGGAAAATATAATAAGAGAGGGTTCTGCTCATACTTTAATTACCCCTCATCCCCTGATCACATACCTTTTGGTAAAGAGCAATCGATGCAGACTTTTTGCAACGCTGATATTTTGCCTCTAAATAGGAGTTGTGACATTAGGAAGACGTTAAGATGTATCTTTAATGTCCGGTGTTTCCTTGGGGTCTAACTAATGACGAAAACAATGTCTCCTTAAGGGTACAGGTACATTCCCATAATAAACGAACCACGTGACAAGGAGCAAAGGCAAATAAAGAACGGGGCGCCTTAATAATTCGAACACCAATTACGGGCCTGTTCGAATCTGATAAAAAAAATGGATGCATGCTGCTACGAAAACTCGCACCTTTCCTCATAAATGAGGCTTTTTCGCCTGTGTCCTGGCCACCTGTATTCTCAAAAATCGTGTCCGGGTTTGCCATGGGGTTCTTCTTCATGTTGGCGAAGGTGCAGTGTTCTGTGATGGCGTCCAGTGTCTTGGCTGAGAGGCTCTTGCCCAAGAACTGACTGATCTGCTCGACAATTCCTCTCAGGTCCTGCATAGATACGCGGAGGTATAATATAGGGAGTCAGTTTCTTTCCTCGCCTTCCACCTCTGTGGCCCGGGTTCGAATCCACCCAGGTGTACATGCATGTGTACAGGGTTTTTATTTCAAACCTCATTCCCTAGGTTTTGCCCAGGATTTGTGATTTTACCCCTGGACCTGAACAATTGTTTATGGTTTCTCTCAACAACCTTTACCCCCGACCTTCGAGCATTGGCGGCTTTCCTGCTTTTGATAATTCCTTGGCCGCACAACCAGAAATAAATTACAACAATAATACTAGCATAAATAAAGCTCATTGTCCAAATCCGATAGGTAATATTATTATTATTATTTTAAGTGTCCCGATTTTTCATTAGCTCTCACCCTCTTCATGTCTTCAAACCACAGGAGGAGGATGTTTGGTTCGTGTCTCTTCCTCCAGAAATATAGGTAATGCTCCCACCACGGACCGAACATAGCTGCAATCGAAAAAGCCAGACAGATTAATAAATGGATAATACATTCAGACACACCGATAGAAGTACCGAGTTATGGGCGCCGTGGACGTACGTGGCAGTGCCACATACCAACTTACTTTTTCCTTCCAGCGTCAGTTCGAAGAAATCCCCAAAACTCTCGGCCTGTTTCTGAGGGGAACGGTTCATCATTCGCGTGAAGTAGAAGAACGAGACCACGAGGTCCTTGGGGTTGCGCATGACGTAGACGATCTTGGGTTTCTTTGTCCACATCTGAGGCGGCAGTAGCTGGCCCGGTAGATGCGACTTGATGACACGGGGTGATGGCATCTCAGCAACTATCTTGTGAATTTGAGGCATCTAGGGGTGATTCCAATATTGAATCTAATGTTGGGAACGAGTTACATTGGAGGGGAAAAATACGCACAATCCGCCCATAATTATGGGCCCTATATGTAATCGTTTTTGCCCCATTTGAACGACCCTAGACATATCTGTCAAGGTGTGTTAGAAGAAACATTTATTTACATTTATTTTAAGTGTCAAATTTTCACGATACCCTTTCATGTCTGCGTTAATGCACTCTGTCCATTAGCCCAGTGGCGCGCCAAAAAAAAGGGGGGGGCGACTCGGGGGCTTGAGCCCCCTTCCCCACAAATGTTGTCAATTTTTTTTGGGGGGGGGGGGGTTAATGTTTTTGTCCCACGATTTGCCTAGGTGATATGTATGTTTTCTTTTTCCAAAAAGTATAATGGGGTGTAAGTGGCGCCACGAACGTCAAAATAGACCGCCCACCCCCCCCCCAAAAAAAAAAAATTGACAACAAAATATTTGAGCCCCCCTCCCCACAAAACTTGTGAGCCCCGACTTACATTTTTCATCTTCAGGACCGGCTCGGGCAAACAGAGCTCCAGGAAGGGAACCCGGAACACAGTGTGTCTCTTGTTGACTTCCTCCAGGTTCCCATCATGCATCACGCAGGACATGATCTCCTGGGTCCAAGTTGTGCCTGGTGGTAGGAGGAAGAATCATCCTATGTTTTCGAAAACACCTTACACTACAACATTAACTTTAGAGTATGTGTCCCCCCCCCCAAAAAAAAAAAAAAAAAAAAATCAACACCCCGATTCACACCCCAATTCACATTAGGCTTCAACTGATGGGAGTATAGTTCACATGTTTCTTACATATGATTTTAGGCTTTGCATGGTGGAGTATCGGTATCGTTTCGGTTTGCGGTAACACCATGTGCTAATAACTACTGCTTAGAAGATATTTAGTTCTGAAAAGAACTTGTCCTGCTTATTATCAACTTTCGCTATATAGTTTTTGTTCTGATAAGAACAATCCTGCTTTAAGTTCTAAACGAACTTGTCTTTAGTCTCAACGTTTCGACTTGCTTGCTCTAGTCATCGTCAGGAGACATGTTTCTTACGTTCCATTATACAGTATGTCCCCCCAAAAAGTGTCCGCCTGACTGTTTTTAACATCACTATGAAACCACGAGGTCAATTTTAAAAAATGTTACTTGATCACAACATGTTGGGGACCCTGAACCCAATTCCTTAGACGAACAGGATTTTACACAGCTTCCATATCACAACACTCAAATTGATTCAGCAATAAAGTTTATTTATACGAATCTGATTAAATGAAAATTGCACGGGCATTACAAGTTTGACAAAAAGTCTTTCTCTGCCGTTCCCGTTCCACGTCGCTTCTGTCTATACCCTGGACATGGCATACAAAAACAAACACTGATTTCGGGCATGGCCGGCGACCAGACTATCCCGCAACTTGTTATACTGTGTGTTTTTGTTTTGTTTTTTGTTTGTTTGTTTTGTGGGTTTTTTTTGTTTGTTTTTTTTAAATATAATTCAGTACCAGGGCAAGTAGTGGGAGCGTATCATTATGATCATACTGCTCCCGAGTGGACATGGTTGGAGGTTTCCAAATACTACCGGTACCTGCTTTGGGATACGTCACGATCCACGCGTCGTCCTCTCTGACCTCGAAGTTCTTGAGGTCACTCACGATCTGGTCAGTCCCCGGAGGAAACACGATACCGTCCACCATGGGTTTTTGGCGGGGCGGGATGTTGGCATGTACCATCATTGGTTGCATCTTCTGTACCATTCCCTTATCTGTACGCCATTCGGAAACACATAGATGCGCTTAAAGGCATACAGTATCATCGGAATTATTTTTATACAAAAGGTATATACCTTAAAGGGGAGTCAGGTTGGCGTTGTGTCACTTTCCTTGCCTTCCACTGCTGTGACCCGGGTAATAGTCCAGCCTAGGCCAAAGTGTGGATTGGGTTTTCAGGCCTTGCCTGATTCCGTGGGTTTTCCCCAGAATATTCTTCTGGGCTGTTCCTTACACCTGTATAACTGAAATTTCTTCGTATTGTCTTCTCTCCACAGATTTCTTCAGGCTTGCGAGCTACTGACTCGACTGCCTAGGGTGCTTTTGAGGAATCTTTGGTTTCATCACCGGAATAATTAATAATAATAATAAATATAATAATTGTACCTTCAGAATTATCATCAAAAACCTTACTTGGATTGAAGATCGCACTGGCCTTAACACCCCTTCAAATTATTAAAATTGTTCCGTCTGGATTACTGTCATGCAGAAGAAATCAAGAAATGTATGCGATTTCCAACGACCTGGCAATATTGACTGATTTTTGGACGTTAGGCAACACTTCGCCTACATTTTAGCCCAATTTACGGACAAATCAACCCCCCCCCCCCCGTTTTGGTTAATAAGCTAAATATCAAGACATTTCCCCCCCCCCCATTTTTCAAATGATTTTTCTTTTATATTTGTAACGACAACTATGCCAGTAAGTAACTCTGTGAATTTGAAGCTCATCAATATTGACGGTTGGCGAGACTACTTGATAATATCCGAGAAAAAAAAGTAAATTCCTGCAACTTTAGGGTAGACGTATAATGGTAGCCAGTTTTTTTCTTCTTTATTATGTCCTCATAATCATCCGGTCTCTGATATGCTTTAGAAAATGTTATTTAAGCAAGGACATGTAATAATTTACAGTAGATTTCCAACAAAATATATACTTTTCAAACATTAACAAAATATATACCCAGATATGGGATTAAATATATTACACGTACCGTCGGTATTAATGATTGATGCATAAACAAATAGGCATAAGCCTACTGTATTTCCACCACTTGGATTTATTTTAGGACTTTTAGCATGTTATTCTAGGGACTCTAGGGAAAATAGAAATGCACTTTTGGTGAAAAAAAAATGCACTTTGAATGAGGTTCACTTAAAAAAGAACTATTTTGCCTGGTTTAAGTAGCAGGTTGGTGGTTTATACACCTGGTGAAGAAGGCAAGAGCTATTAAACCACCGAAGTAAATCTACACACATCAGACGAATACTTACATTCCTCAAGGGTTACGTACTTATCCATTGTGCGGTGCGGTGGAAGTTCCCTCACGTTTATTATATTTCTGCGGAGTGAAATTTGAGTAGATAGTCAGATGACATCCACTATAAAAAAAACATAAACATGCAAGAATTTCAAATTCAGGACTCACAGAACTGAAAGTTTTAGACAACCGCACATTACCCACACCCGTGCCCAAACGTATAGGCGTGTATACCTATGTTCCCCAATACCAATGTTCCCAACCCTTACCTTAACCCTAACCCGAGCCCTAGCCCTAACCCTTATCCTAATCCTAAAGATTTTGGGGAACATAAATAGGTATTGGGAACATAGGTATTGGGAAACATCGTATAGACCCCAAACGTACTCACCGTGCCGGTGCAACAATATTGCGGGCCAATGTTTCAACCACACACGAACGCTCCCTGTACTTCGTACTCCGTTGTGTAAGTGAAGGCAAAGTGCAATCCCTCGTCCAATGCAACGCTTGTTATACTGTAAGCCTTGTTGCATGCAGCCATCGAACCTTATGTCAGCACTGACTGATAATGACAATGTACTTTGGTGCAGGGAAGGCGCGGGGTCAACTGTTATCGCAGTGTACAGTCGACCCGTCACGGTGGTCCATTCCGAAAACTGCAAGACCCCTCTCCAATGTTTCGTAGAGATGAAGCACACTTTGCATTTTGATTGTTATTTTTACGATTTAAGTTTTTTTTTAATTCAAATGTACCCCTGAAGAATCTGATTTTAGCTCAAAGATAAGCCTCTCAAAACGAAACATTCAATTGTATTGATGGAGTTATTAGTCGAGTTCATACTCGGCGCGAAAGCGAACGCGCTGCGAATTCATAAAAGTTGAACACATTTCAACACCGGGGAATTCCGGGCAGCGAATGCTTCGTAAAATAAAATTCGCATCGCATTCGCATTTGCGTGAAGTAGGCCCTATGGGGGTCCGCTCATAAGTCTGGCGCCTCATAGGTCCGACGCCTCGGTCTGAAAATTCGAACTTGTGGGGCGTCGGACCTAGAGGCGTCGGACTTATGAGGCATAACATTTTATTTATTCCGCCTCATTGGCCTCATATTGAGAAAAGAAGCCCAACATGGCTATATTTAGCTTACACGATATGTGCTTTTAAAAGGTGGAGGCCCTTTTTATTTGACTGTTCTTGATAGTTGGCGACAAAACCTTCTTAAAGTGATTATTCAACACTTGTAAAGCTATTAAGCATCTGAACTTCTCAACCATTTTGTGACATTTTGTGAACAATTGATGCAGCTTCAAAAAGGAAGCGGGCGGGGCGATCAACTGGATTACCTTTTTACGTAACCCTATTATTATGGCTGTAATAGGGCGACAGGTTTTGCGAACTCTGTCAACAATAGGGCGATACACCTTATTGAGGCGACAAAATAACTGTCGCCCTTTTATGTAAACGACCCTTAGGACAAGGAATTTTGCTGTCGAAAACCATCTAGATCGATTCCTCATGGTCCAATTAGTATAAATACTAAATTTCGTGGAAAAAACATAAGGTAAACTTGGGTTAGGTGACAGTTTAGGTTTGTGCACAAGTCTATGGGAAAGTCACCCTATTGCAGCCAAATGAGTAATATTATTATTATGGCTATTATTATTATTATTTATTTATTTGACCCAAACGACATTACAAGATAACAACATAAAGCCCGGTTCATACTTCACGCGAAAGCGAAAGCGAAGTGAAATTCGTGACGTCAACAATACATTTGAAGCACTCCGCCATTGTTGACGTCACGAATTTCGCTTCGCTTTCGCTTTCGCGTGAAGTATGAACCGGGCTTAACACTAAATGGGAAAACACAATGGCATTAACACTCAAATGAAAAAAAAATGACCAGAAAAAAACACTTAATAATACAAACAAGATGAAACAAATAACAGGATAGGGTGGAGTTGGATAGGAGACTTGTTAGGGAATTATGTATTTTTTTTAGCCTTTTTTGGTAGTTTATATATTTGTGCACGTTAAACAATACAATACACTTAAAAATTATGTAGCCATTGCCGGCAACATCAATTCAAATTGGCACAAATCTGGTAAACTGCATTCTGCAAGTTTTAAACTGAGTTAATACATTTATTAGTGCTACATTCGAACATTTATAAACCACTGAGCGCATTTGCTTTTCGTTAAGAGGTCAACATTGTGCGGATCCTAACCAGATGATGTACAGAAACAGAACATGAACATGTCTGTGTGCATGTATTTCATTCAAAATAAAGTGTTTGGTAACCCTTAGCAGCCGCACTGCTAATATTCCATAGCGACAGCTCATTATTTGGACAGCTGAACTCACCACTTATTCAGCAAACTTGGAAAAAGAGGTTTTTCGGCTTTTCTTTGAAATCAATGGTGCCCAATCATCCATGTCGAAGAAAGGCAAATACGGTATCTAATGAATGACCCTTTACGACAGATACAACTTTGACATTTTTGAAGTTCATAACTTTTACATACTAGCCAATTTTTCGATTACTTTTTTTTTTTTTTTTTTTAAATACAATACACCCTGAATATTTGGTGCTAAAAATCAAAGTTGAGCCCAGTGCCGTGCAGCTTCTCCTTAATGTGGGCGTCCATGGCTTCGTTCTGTGCCACAGTGAAGTGGGACCTCCAATCACCAACCTTGCCTGCAAACGAGGAGAACACAGGGGAAAATGAACGTGTGGTTTCATGGGATATGCCTACTGGGTGGATGAGGCCACTTCCCACAGACACGTGTACGTGTTCATCTTATCAAACCGTGGACGAAAAATACCAGAGAACAAAAGAGAACGATATCGTCCTCTTTTCCCAGCATATGTCCGCGATTGGGGTCGTGTACAAAACATATGGGAGTCTTCCTAAAAAGTCTTTCTGAACACACGTTTCTGCAGGACAAGGCCTTAAATTATATGGTCGTCACATGGCATATAATTATTACATAATGATACCTGAGGAACACACTCTCAGGTAAATATGCTATTGACATTAGGTAGCATGGGGCATTAGGGAGACATTTGAATGTGTCAGTAACTATATGTATACAATCTTTCGTCGAAGGTTGCTTGAAAAGAGCCTTGGGTAAAACAAAATAGCATAATAAAGTTTTGCTGAAGAATAGCGGTGATGAAGGGATTCTTTTGATTAGTGGGAATGTCGCCCAAAGGTCAAAGTTTTGTAATATTAATATTACCAGTTACTTACATTCCCATGGACAAGGAAGCCATTTTGGTTGTGTTCCCCGAATATATTTTATACATTGTGAACTGTTGAATGAGATGGTACCAGGCTATTTATGTATTCTAGCCTCACTTTCAAACATATAAGGTATGTTTCATCACACATTTTAAACTATTCATCAGAACAGACTGTTATTAATTAATTAACTTTACGTTATTGCTTGTATTTCTCTTCGCAAGTTCCAATAACGACGATTTTACCTCGCTTTCAATTTGATATGGCCGACGGACTCGTGAATAAAGCGAATAGGATTGTGCACACAATTTTTCCAACTTAAATGACCCCTAACCCCTATTTTCCCTTTATTCTACCCCACGAATGTTTGTATATTTATGTTTTGGACCACGATCAATCGATCAAGCCTTTTTTGCGACGGTGACATTTTGCCTCTCAATAGGAGTTGTGACACTGGGTAGACTTTAAGATGTCTCCCTAATGTCCGGTGGCTCCCTAATGTCCGGTTTAACTAATGACAAAATAACTATTTCCTTACATTGACATTTACATCAAGAATGCCTACAATATAAGTTATCCTACGAGCGCGAGTGGAACACGGAATAATGTAGTGCGTTTGTGTCCCACATACCACGAGGCCGGACGGTCTAGCCGGACGGAATTGTGGGGTGATAGCATTGTGTTCCCTTTATCCCTTTTTCTAAAGATTCTCTTCTGGGGTGATGTTTTTCTATTGTGAACATAGTGGGGTGATGTGTCCTGAAAGGAACATCACCCCACAATCGGGGTATGGTCAGAACGAAGGCCGAGTGATATTATGGGACACAGACGCACTACATTTTCCGTGTTGCACGAGTGCGATTGTGATAGCGAATTTTTCTTCAAGCAAACTTGACGCGCAGTACAGTTGGAACATTGCTTTACACGAACCGTTTAGCAGTTTAGCGCATGCAGCTGGAATGTCGCTCGCATCTTGGAAAAGCGCAATACGCAGAGTGCGGTATGGACCGTGCAATACAGCCTCATATTACACTGTTGTTGCCATGGATCAACCAATCAGGATCGAGGATTCAAGTTTACTTGGAGATAATTTTTAATACGCGCCCTCTGTTGATAACTCCGGAAATGCACACTATCAGTAATGAACCGCGTGACAAGGATTGAACCCTAATAATGAGCGGGCGCCTTAATAAATCAAACACCAAACGTACCGGGCTCTTCTGGCCCGTTTGAATTTGACAAAAAAAATGTGGGTGCATACCGGACGGACTCGTACCTTTTCTCATAAAAGACGTTTTGTCGCCTGTGCCCTGTCCACCTTGATTCTCAAATAGCGTGTCCGGGTTTGCCATGGGGTTCTTCTTCATGTTGGCGAAGGTGCAGTGTTCCGTGATGGCATCCAGTGTCTTGGCTGAGAGGCTCTTGCCCAAGAACTGACTGATCTGCTCGACGATTCCTCTCAGGTCCTGCATAAATGCGCGGAAGTAGATAGTCAGGTTTGCTTGGCTCTCGCCTCGCCTTCCACCTCTGTGGCCCGGGATCGAATCCACCCAGGTGTCCATGCATGTGGATAGGGTTTCCATGAACCTCCTTCCTTCGGTTTTGCCCAAAATTTGTGATGTTACCACCAGAACTGAACATATTTGTTTTTGGTTTTTCTCAACATTTTTTTCCCCACCGACCTTACAAAAGGCGCCTTTGAGCGGTGGCGCCTTTTACGCTTTTGAGAATTACATGGCTTCACAACCAGAAATAAATAGATACATAAATTATAACAGCAATAACTCAAACTCTTTTCGAAATCCGATAGATAAGAGCAGATTATTGCATAAAACTTCCTTTTTTTTTAAATTGTCGATATTTCTCCTTAGCTCTCACCCTCTTCATGTCTTCAAATCGCAGCACGAGGATGTTTGGTTCGTGTCTCTTCCTCCAGAAGAGCAAGTAATGTTCCCACCACGGACCCCACAAAGCTGCAAACCATCGAAAAACAGACAGACATATTAATAAACGGACAATCCATTGAAACACAATCATAATAGTACCGAGTTGTTGACGCCGTGTGGCAGTGCCGAGTGACCTACTTACTCTTTCAGCGCCTGATCAAAGAACCCAATATCTGGGTAAAAAAAACTGACACAACACCTGGGTAAAAATGAGGGTTGGATAAAGTTTAACTGAGTTTAAGGGAGCATGGTTGTCACATGGGTAAACGTTCTTACACAACTTTGTTGGCAAACATGTAACACAATTACGGTAAAAAAGGTACACTAAAATTAGTTCTTTTCTACACTCTACCTGTTGTGTAAAACAAACTACACAAGTTGACGACCATGTTCCCTTTTTACTCTCGAAAAGGTGGTAATTGTACCCAATATTGAGCAACTCTTTTTGGAGTGTATGTCACCCTGTGGCAGTGCCGTGTGAGGCTACTTACTTTTTCCTTCCAGTGCCTGATCGAAGAAATCCCCAAAAGTTTGGGCCTGTTTCTGCGGGGAAGGGTCCACCATTCGCGTGAAGTAGAAGAACGAGACCACGAGGTCCTTGGGGTTGCGCATGACGTAGACGATCTTGGGTTTCTTTGTCCACATCTGAGGCGGCAGTAGCTGGCCCGGTAGATGCGACTTGATGACCCGGGGAGATGGCATCTCAGCGACTATCTTGTAAATTGGAGGCATCTATATAGGGGGTGATTTAAAATTGAATATAATGTTGAGAATGGGATACATTGGATGGCTGCCGATGACTGCTTTGCCAAAGCCTACCACGTGGACATTGCGGTAAACCTTGTACTGCTTCCCGCTGTTGACCATGGAGATCTTTTGAACAGACAGAGGCACCCCCTTGCCCCTTTAGATAGATGAAACACTTCACCGGTGCCGTGGGAATAAATGCCAACCCTGCATTTCATCTCAGGAATCCATCTTAGAAAGACATCACTGAACGTTTTGTTCTCGTGTGGATGCATGACTTCCAAGTCACGGAACCTCAGCGCAAGTAACAGACTTAACATGGATACCAGTACAGACAAACTGCAGCAAGATGCAAAAAGCATCTTTACTGCCGGTGTGGATGCTGTATTGCCTCATCGCTTGGTTACCAAGGCCCTCTGTTACCATGAAACTGCCTGACCATCAGCGGGAAACAGTACCAGGTTGACCACAATGTCTACGTTGTAGGCTTTGGCAAAGCAGTCATTGATATGGTAGGTGCTGTGGATGATATCCTTGGGGAGCATGCCCAACGCAGCATTGCCAGTGTTCCCTTCGGTATACAAGATGCCCTGAGGAAGGCTGGCAGAAATTGTTTACTACGACCTGGATTTGCCACCATTTATGATGGTTTACCGGGATCATGTTTCGGGTGTATATTTAGTTAAATACCAAAAAAAAAATGACTTACATTTGTCAACCCCCCCCCCCCCCCCGTGATCCGCGCCTGTGTATTCATGTTATGTATTTCGTCCTTTAGTCTCTTTCATATACGGTGGACACAACAGGATAGGAGTTTTTTATTTAGTTTAAATATTTTTTGGGGGTATTTAACTAAATATACACCCAAAACAAACAGCGCATATTGCGTCCGCCACAATATATCCAGTAGGCTAGTAACCCTGACTTACATTTGTCATCCGAAGGACCGGCTCGGGGAAGCCGTACTCCAGGAAGGGAACCCGGAACACAGTGTGTCTCTTGTTAACTTCCTCCAGGTTCCCATCATGCATCACGCAGGACATGATCTCCTGGGTCCATGTTGTCCCTGGTGGTAGGAGGAAAATCACCTTATGTTTTAGAAAACACGTTAATACACTTCACAATATGAACAGAAGCATGTCAATAAACCAATCGGTTGAACTCAAAGGTGGATCTGTTTGTTATTTTCTGGGGGGAACAGGGTGTGGTGATACGGGGACGCCTCTATAGTCCGAATTATCATTGGTCCGAAGTCCCATTGGTTCGACGTCCCATTGGTCCGACGTCCCATTGGTCCGACGTCCCATTGGTCCGACGTCCCATTGGGCCGACGTATCATGGGTCCGAAGTACCATTGGATTATGGTTAGGGTTAGGGTCATAGAGTCAGTCGACCTGAACCAGTGGAACTACACAAATCAGGTTTCATTTGACCAATGGGACTTCGGACTATCGAGACTCAACCAGTGATACTGCAAGTTTAATGATATAATATTGGATGGCTTTGCGGTGAATACAAGAATATATAGTAATAGCGAGTGCAATATATTCCTGCATAACCCGAAAAAAAGCCATCCAATATAATTATTGATATTCAGGCTGACTTGATTCGCAAGAAAAACGTATTAAAGACGCTGTCTTCGTTTCTCTTATTTGGCAATTTTGACGCAGCCATTTTGATTGTTGACAACAGTGACGGAATACCTGGCCGGCTGCGCGCTGCGTGGGGTCCGTGTTCTAAAGTACCGCGCTACGCTCTCACGGTGGTTGACAGCTGTGAGTGTCTACGCTTTTGATCCAGCGAAAATGCCTGGACGTAATATTGTCCGCAATCCGGGTACTTTTACTGACAATATTGCTGTCATACGGGTACGTTAATAGGAAAGCATACAATACGCTGATTTATTTTTTTTCTACTTCAAGCCTGATATTAAAAAAATAATTGGTATAATAACATTTGTTTGCTGCTCCCACTGCACGACGTATTGCTTCCATCTGTCCCAAACCCTGGCCACCGCATGTAAAAATAACATTGATTTCAAGCATGGCCTTGGACCAGACTATCCCACCACTAATTTACATACTCTACACAAGATTTTTGAAAATGATCCAGTACCAGGGCAAGGTAGCAGCTAGTGGGAGCCTGCCATACGGCTCCCGTGGGGAAGAGGTTGGAGGTTTACAAGTACTACCTGCTTTGGGAAACGTCACGATCCACACGTCGTCCTCTCTGACCTCGAACTTCTTGAGGTCGTTCACGGTCTGGTCAGTCCCCGGAGGAAGCACGATACCGTCAACCACGGGTTTTGGGCGGGACGGGAGGTTGGCCTGTGCCATCATTGATCGCGTCTTGCGGAACATTCCCTGATCTGTACCCCATTCGAAAAAAAAATAGAGGTGAAGCAAAAGGAGACAGGGCTAAAAGGCACACAGGATCAAGTACGACATGCTCCACCCTGGAGGGTTGTACTCTCTGGACGATATGGATAGATCAGACTGTCATGGCCTAGCGGTTAGGAACACCGGGCCCATTGCTCTGGTGTTTCAGAGGCAACAGTGGCGTGGGTTCGAGCCCGGGTCTGCAGACACTTGTGCCCTTATAAGCAAGGCAGTAGGCACTTAACCATTATATTGCTTCGTCCTCCGGTTGGGACGTAAAGCAATAGGTCCCATGTGTTGTGTAATGCACGTTAAAGACCCCAGTAAAACTTATCACTAAGAGAAGGGGTTTGCCTCGGTGATTCTGGCAGTGGCTGCAATATGCGCCGAAGCACCTTGTAACCCTTAAAGGTGCTATAATGGGTCTCATATTTCTCATATTGAGGGCCTCCTTGGAAAGCAGTGCCCTGCACTGATTGGAGTTTACCCTCTGTCTAGCTGACAAAATCGTGTATCGTGATAAAATGTGTTGTCTTTATTAAAATGTATGGATGTTCACAGTTTTCTCTCAAGTGCTATATCCACAGAGCTGAAACTTCAACGGGTTGGATTTCGATTGAACAGTCTTCTTTTGAGTTTGATCAGTATTATGATTGGATCGGTCCTGATCTCGAAGATAAAAGTCAAAGCCCTGGGACCAGTCCAAGTAAAATTAGAACCCCTTTATGGTGGCGCCATCACGTCAAGTTCTCAAGATGCTACTATAAGTTGCACAAGTTTCCACAATGAGCAACGCCACAACGTGCAAAATATTATTTGTGTTGCTTTCCACTTTTAGAAACGGCTTGGCTCTACGTCGATGTTGCACCGTAGAAGCACGTGGTTCATACATCTGGTGAATAAGGCATATAAACTAAACGCCTAAGTAAATCTACACCCATCAGACGAATACTTACATTGCTCAAGTGTTACGTACTTATCCATTGTGCCGTATGGTGGAAGTTCTCCTCACGTTAATTAGATTACTGCGGAGTGAAACAAAATTTGACCATACCTTAAAGTGAGATGCAATCCACTATATACTGACCACTACGTACAAAACATAGCCGTATTGCTGCGCTGTACGTTGGAGCGCAGCAATACGGAGGCCACACAAGTGGGGCTATCCAAAAGACAACAAGCAAGCGTGCAAAAAATGTTAAATTCAGGCATGACCTGAGTCAGAGAACTTAATTGGTTGTAAACAACCGAACATTAACACAACCATACTCACGGTGCAGCAAGTGCAACAATTACTGCGGGCTTATGATTCAACCACACACGCAATCCGTGGGCTCCAACAATTGCTTTACTCTGTTAATAGGTGCAACGGGGAAACAGGCACGTAGACCCCTCTTTCAATGCAACGCTTGTTAAACTGTAAACACTGTTGCATAATGTAAATGAATAATGCCTTGATACTTAATGTCAACACTGACGGATGTAATTCAACAATGACAAGGCACGTTGGTACACGGTACGGATGGAGTCGCTGTTATCGCAGCCGAGTGTACATGCATGGGCGTCGACAGGACTTTTATTTTCAGGGGCCGGGGGGCAAAGCACATTTTCCATTCAAAATCCCTGCTCTTTAGTTTCCAGCATATTCTCGATTAGTATTTTTTTGAGGGTGGATAGAGACATTTGCCCCCCCCCCCCCCCAACCCCTTAAATTAACAGCAATATGGTTTTGCGCCTCTATTTTTTTTTCTTAACTCCTTTTTGCGGTGCTTTTCCGAGGGGCACCCCTTTGTGTGCCGCATGCTACTCACAGGTCACGCAAAATCTAAACTCTAAAAACTGTGTTTAGCAATTATCAAAGTCTTGCTTTCACTTTGTAAACATGTTTAGAAGCTAAACATTACGTGTTCAATTCCTAAACATCAAAGTTCAATTGCTAAACACCATCCATCCTTACGCTACACGTGTTTAGATTGAAACATGTTTACAAAGTGATAGCAAGAAAGTGTTTAGAAAGTGTTTAATCGCTAAACACAGTTTTTGCAGTGATATCCGGTCGATGAAAGCTCAATGAGATCAGCGCTAAACGTCCTGTTTGGAAGACGGGGCTACGAGCGAATGTACACAGTCGACCCGTCACACAAGTGCGCCAAAAAGGGTGAAACGTGACCCTGCTAGTTTTAATTTTTTCGACACTTTTGAGGTTGCTCATACCCCATCGGACCATTTTATGGGGAAATTAAGCAAAAAATATGTATATTGACTTGTCATGGCCTCTTAAAGGTATGCAAATCCACAGAAATTTGCCATAAAATGTGAATAGTTGCAGAAATCTTCATAAAGCAAAATCAGACAATTTGCATTGGGCTACGGAGCTAAATTTTCACTTGGCTCTAGTTTATAGTTCATATTTAAAGGAAATTAAATCAGTTTTTATTTTTGTTGAAGTTTTTTATGAATAAATACTGACAATTGTGTCAAAATTGACATGAAATTTATGATTCCTGTGTTCAGCAATACGGAAACTAAGGATTGCCGTCGATTGCTGCCTAAAGTCTACTTATTTCTAATAGAGCAACTTGTTTGCATCATTTTGGTACCAAATTTAGCTGCGACAACCTGCGATACACGATTTTAGAGCAGTTTTTCTGAAGCGATCACCGTACGTTTTCGCCCCTTTTCTGAACTCCATATTACATGTGGCGCGCTTCACTGAGAAACACGACACCCGAGCAAGGCTGCGCTCGTCGGAAAGTCAGTGTTGTGTATGATACCCCTATTAGATGTCTGATTGCGCAGTTGAAATTACAATGTACTTGGTGTCTCATATACTTGGTGTCTCATATGTCGTGATGAGTAGTACTGCCGTTAGTCGTCTTTAAATATGTATCTGTAAGCTGTGCCACAGTGCACTATGGCGTCTTTACCAAGAAAGCGATTATTTGAAGTTGTCACTTCTGTTGATGATGCATCAAACATTGAAAACTCTTGCCGTGGTTGCTTAGAATTATTCATGGATGTGTTCAATGTTCCACAATGTGATATTCCAGAGGAGATTCGTCAGTCAGTGATGAAAAGCACTCGGGATTTCCTTTACAAACTGAGGAGGAAATGGGCAGAAAGCAGCCGAAACAAAAATAGTTTTGAGCGTAAGAACACACACTGGCTGAAAGGAGAGTTGTGTTTTGACACTAAAGTGGATGACTGGCTCTCAAGAAGAGGAACAAAACGAACGGTAACATTCGTTGAGGATGCCACATCATCCGAGCCTAGTACGTCAAAGGGTCGTCCAAAAAAAGACTGGTTGTCTTCGTCTAAGCGCACCAAGCAGAGGAAAGCACAGACACTCCTTCAAGAGCGAAGACAAAGCGAACTGCTCTTTGCAGCTTCTCAGGGGGCGTATGGAAAAAACCCTGATTTGAGGTATGTTTTAAAGTTTACAATAATGACTCCAACCAAACCAACAAAGCTGAGAAAACTAATCTCAAAGGGATCTACCGACCCAGAACCTTTCACATCAGATGAGGCATTAGCTCTTTTGATGGAGACTGGGATGACCAAATCTTCTTATCAAACATTGAGGACTTCTGCTAAAGATAAGCATGCAGACATCTATCCCCCATACAACGTGGTTAGAGAAGCCAAACAAAAATGTCCTTGAAGGTATTTCAGTCACTGAGGAATCAGCAAAGGTTCCACTGCAAAACCTTCTGGATCTCACTGCTCTCCGAATTATCGAACAACAGAAGGAAGAAGTAAATGAACTGCTTGAAGGTCTGGAAGATGAAGACCCTATCTCCTTCGATTTGACCTGTAAATGGGGTTTTGATGGCTCATCAGGCCAGAGTGAATACAAACAAAGTTTCAAGTCCACAGATACGTCAGACGCTAGTTTGTTCTGCACGACACTTGTTCCCTTGCAACCCAAGTGGAAAAACAAATTAGTTATCTGGGTGAATCCAGTTCCAGCATCGACGAGATTGTGCAGACCCATGCATCTCCAATACCAGAAGGAAACTACAGAACTGTCTCAAGAAGAACAGAGGTGTATCGAAGAAGAAATTCAAGCTCTCAAACCAATCACTGTGAAATTGGACATTGAAAATGAAACAGGAGAACAGACAACAAATGTAATTGTTCAAGTACACTATGATCTGCACTTGACAATGGTGGATCAAAAAGTAATCAACGCAATCACATCCACCAAGTCATCAGTGCGATGCTACATATGTGGTGCAACCCCAAAGACTTCAATAACATCGATCAGCTACCGCAACCGGTCGAAGATAAATACAGATTCGGTTTATGCCCACTCCATAAATGGATACGTTGTTTTGAAATGCTGCTTCACATTGCTTACAGAATTTCACTGAAGAAAATGCAAGTGCAGTCTGATCACGACAAAGCAGTGGTGAAAAACAGAAAGGAGGAGATACAGGAACGTTTCAAAGTTGAACTTGGATTGACAGTGGATAAACCAAAGCCAGGAGGTGGGAGCACTAATGACGGGAATACAGCTCGCAGAGCATTTCAAGCAGAGAAGATCTTCTCTTCAATCTGTGGACTGGATGAGAGCCTTATTTACAAACTCCACGTCATTCTCATTGCATTGTCATGTGGTCTACCCATAGACCACAAAAAGTTCGGGTCATATTGTAAGGACACAGCAAATATATACATCCAGCTGTATCCCTGGTTCAGAATGCCAGTTAGTGTTCATGTGGTACTTATCCACGGAACAGACATTATGTCCTCCTCAGTCCTCCCAATCGGGATGATGAGCGAAGAAGCTCAAGAGGCAAGAAACAAAGATAACAAGATGTTCCGCCTAAGACATGCAAGGAAAACATCTAGAGTTCATACCATGAGTGACGTCTTTCACAGGCTTATGGTGACAGGTGATATTGTGGTCAGCAGCAGGTCTGTGTATCGCAGGAGAAAATCAAGACCTCTTCCTCAAGAAGTTGTAGACATGACAACCAATCCTGAACTGTGCCTATCTTCTGAGAGTGACAGCCCTGATCAGGATCAAGGTAGTGAGTCATCAGATAGTGACACTTCATAGCATGTGAGTAAAAGTCCTTTTCATTTCTATTAAAGTTTCGATAACGGGGTTGTTGTGTATGTTTATATCAAAAAGTATATGTAAAAGTTTGTACATTCCTTCACAACTGAACATGACGCAACCATCAATGGAATATCTGTTTCAGATGACGTCATGACATTATGAAGTTAAAATTTAGCATATTTAATCGTAAAAAAACAACGATGTTAGCAATTTCCCCTTTTTGTTCTTTTTTTTTTTTTTACTGAAAAGCAATTATTGGTCACAATTGTACCGCGATATACAGTCCATTACATCAGGACCAATCAAAAATCGGTATTTTGCTGACGTCATACTCTGATGTAACTATCACCATTGGATTCTACGGGTCGGAAAACCTAGTTAGGTGAACCTTCCTGCACAAGACTTAATGATTTCTATTTTTGGCGCACTTTCATCCCATTCTGGCCCACTGTGATCACATGTGTCCTATAAAAACCTCTTGATTTATTAGTGGGCACTAATTTGAGGGAAAAAACCGCGTATCCATGGACGGCGGACGGCGGAACGCTTTTCAAACTGGGGGCATCACCAAAACGGGGTACTTACTCCGAGAAAAAAAAGCACATTCCGCTGGTGTGAAAGAGGAGAAAATTGTAAAACTATTTTGTTCACATTGAAATGAATACGTGTTACACTGAATACAATTTACTAACCACATTGATGTCCACTACGCGTTTGCGTTAAACATTTTTAAAATGTTAATTCCCTTACTAAAAAAATAATACAGTGTAGACCTATTACTGAAAAAGTCTCAATATAGCAAGATTGTTCTCAAGTAAGGTAACGTTTCATGAAGAAACCCATCGGCGTCCGCCGCATCATCGGCAGTAACCTATCTGCCATCCCGGCCAAATGGTTGGGACACTTTCCTGAGCCTGCCACGGTCACCCATTCTCCTGCTCCCCGGTCAATGTTGTTCTCTCCATCTAATGGAGCACACACCGCGCAATGAGAGGGCCGGGGGGTTGGGGGCCAAGCGTGATTTGGCCAGGATTGTGGGTCTGCCCTTGCATGTGACTAGTAAGCCTAGACCTATACAAAGGGACCATTTTTATTTATCGTGAGAGGGGCACTGTTCCCTTTGGTGGCTACTTAATTAGTGACCATTTTAGTTGCGTGAGGAGCACTAGTATTTTGTTTAAGGCCTTTGACAGGGGCACAGGTTTAATGCTGCGATTTTGTGCACTAATATTTTGCTTTCGAGGGGCAGTTTTCCATCTTGATAGAAGTTATGGCGATTAGAGCACTATTGTTTTTGATGGCCAATTTCCCATCTCGAGAGGGGCAACATTTTGTTATTGCGAGAGG